CTCTCTCTCTCTCTCTCTCTCTCTCTCTCTCTCTCTCTCTCTCTCTCCCTTTCTTATTTTGTTTGAAATTTAAGTTTTCCCGGGTGTCTGGGATCTAGTGTTGTCTTTTGGCCGGAGGCCCCAGCACGAGTCTGCAGAGCCATCGTCAGTTTTCAGCCTCAGAGCGGAAACTGAGACCAAGCCCCAGCCGCGTTTCCAGAACGAAGGGCAATCGCGCCAGCAGCTAAGATGTCGCGAGTGGGGAAGGTGTATCAGGTACAGGATGGCAAAGTCTACCAGCAGATCTTCGAGGCTGAGGTAGGCGCCCTGCTGTCCTCTGCTCCCTTTCCCTTCATCCCACCAAACTTCCCCGCTCCCTTCTAATTCTCTTTGTCCTGAGAGTTTTCCTGTCTAAGATCCAATTTTTATTCATTTTTTTAAATTGAGAATAGATTTTTTTTCATACAATATATTCTGATCACGGTTTCCCTTCCCTCACCTCCCAGATTGTCCCCACTAAGACTGTTTTAAAAAGCTCTCTTTGACATTAACTTGATTTAAGAAAAATAATTTCTAGTGGGTATATTACAGTGTACTAATAGAAGAACATCAGCCCGGCGTGTTGGCGCAGGTCCTTAATCCCAGCATTCAGAGAGGCTAAGGCAGGCAGATCTCTGTGAGTTTGAGGCCAGCCTGGTCTACAGAGTGAGTTCAGAGGATACACAGAGAAACCCTGTCTTGAAAAACCAAAACAACAAGCATAACAAAACAAGCACAACAACAAATTGAAGAACATTGGGACAATTAGTCTTAAAATTAAAATTTTAATTTCAGTAAAAAAAATTTAATCAAAATTATTCAGAATTAGTCTGAATCAACCATTCTGTGCCTGAGTCTTTTTTTTTTTATCAAACATAAAAATAATTCTTTTTTGTTTGTTTGTTTGTTTAAAAAGTGAGTCTTGTGGGGCTGGAGAGATGGCTCAGTGGTTAGGAGCACTGGCTCCTTTTCCAGAGGTCCTGAGTTCAACTCCCGGCACCACATGGTGACTCACAACCATATATAACTTGATATCAAGCAAGCCCTCTTCTGCTGTGCAGGCATATATGCAGATAGAGCACCCATAGACATAAAATAATTAAATAATTTTTTTTTTTAAAGTGAGTCTTGCCAGGCATGTGGCACACGCCTTTAGTCCTAGCCCTTGGGAGGCAGAGGCAGGGGTATCTGTGAGTTTGAGGCCAGCCTGGTCTACATAACAAGCTCCACCACAGACAGAGAGACTCTGGCTCAAAAAAAAAAAAAAAAAAAAACAACAACAACAACAAAAAACCAATAATGTTATTGATGATGATGATGATGGTCGGAATCTCTTTTTGTACTAGAGTTTTGAGATTTCCCTTTTCTCCTTGGCAGTCCCTCAGAACTCATGGCCACGGCCACGGGTATTCAGTCACCTCCCTGGGTGCCCACTGACCTGACTATTGTAAAGTTTGCTCTGCCTTCTTGAATGAGCCTAGCAGACCCAAGAGACCATAAAAGAAACCCACGTGCTTCAAATCTAGGGTACTGCTTATTGAAGTGGGATTCTTATTCCTAATCTGAGCCGTAAATCATGCTGTCTTTATAAATTTTAGGAATGACAAAAGTATAAACCAGAAAACTGAGATCACTCAGAAAATTGTCACAGGATTCAGCTTCTTGTAAGCAAGACATTATTCTTAGCCTTCAGCACACTTTCAGTGGTTTTTCACGTATTTTAAATTTTGAAACAACACTGTAATCTGGGTTGTGATTTTTTTTTTTTAAGCAAGAAGGTGAGTTTGTTAAATGTACTAGAAGGGACAGCAGGTCTAGCACTATCCAAAGTAACACTTGCCTATAATTTTTAACTTATGCTTGAAAACAAGATTTATATTTATTTTATGTGTATGGGAGTCTTGGCTGAGTGTGTGTGTACATGGCTGGTGCTCTGGAAAGCAGGGGATGATGAAACTATGGGTCGTTGTGAGCCACCACAAGGGTGCTAAAAATGAAGCTCTGGTCCTTTGGAAGGACAGCAGGCCCTCTCACTGTGGAGCCATCGCTCCAGCCCTGGAATTTATGCTTTAGTTGATATGCTCAATTACACATTATTGCCTAGCGATTTCCTTGTCCTGAGAAATTTGTGGCAATTTCTGTCTTTAATAAGAGCCCAACATTTCATCAAAGGAATTTTACTCAGTGAGTCTCTTACTCCCGGACAGCTCTGGTTTGTTTTGTTGGTGTTTTCAAAAGTGATTGTGTAGACTAAATCTGGATCTTCATTCCAAGTTCTTTACATACAACCTTCCTTGAAATAGCCCATGCCTATTCAGGGGAAAGAAATCTCCTGCAGTGGGTGGCTGTGGAGTTGGAGTGCAGAGAGCCTTCCTTGTAGTAGGTGCCTCTGTGTCTTCCTAAGATGGCCACAGTCATCATGAAGGCATTTGAAGCTTTCAATAGATCTCCATCTTTCATGCATTCAGGTGCAGCTGGTTCAGTCTCTGGCAGCCACCAGGAAGCGGGCTGCAGAGCATTTTGGGAATGCAAAGAATGTCAAGGCACCCATGATGAAGAAGGTGGTGTTAGAAGAAGGGGAGACAATCACCCCTCGGCAGAGGAAGTGGGTGCGTAGCCTCCCCAACGACTGGATCACAGAAAACCCAGTTCTCTATAGGTAAGTGTGCTATCAAGCCACATTGCGGGTCCTCCGTCTTCAAAGACTCATGAAGATGTGTGCCAGGTACGAATGGAGTCTCAAATACCTTCTCCAAAAAAGGGAGATAGTCACATCTGCTTGAAGGGATGTTTCTCTCCTCCCTCAGTAGTTTTGATGGGTGCCTTAAGGCCAGTGTCTGGGTTGGGGAATCCCACTCTCATGGAACTTTACTCCTCAACAGCAAATAGCCACATTCCCTCAAAGGTGGAAGGACCACTCGCAGGTCAGGGTTAGGAAAGCTCCCTTGGGAGGAGCCACCACTGAGATGGGATGCTAAGGAAGGAGGATGGGGATAGAGCTCTGAGAAGGATGTTCTTGGATCATTGTAGAAGGCTGAGGTGCGTGGATCTAGTGAATGGTTCTCAGCCTTCCTAATTATGTGACCCATTAATAGTTTCTCCTGTTGTGATGACCCCAGCCATAAAACCATTTTCACTGCTGCTTCATAACTGTAACTTTATGAACTGTTATGAATCACAATGTAAACATCTGTGTTTTCCGATGGTCTTAGGTGACCCCTGTGAAAGGGTCATTTGACCCCTAAAGGGGTTGCCACCCATAGGTTGAGAAACACTAGTCTAGAGGGAGAAAAGGTTGAAACAGAGGCTGGGAGAGGCTTTGCAAGCTAGGCAGAGCTTTGAACTTTGAATTTATTTGCATAGCCGATGTCCCCTTGGCAATCTGTACACAAACAGGGGACAGGCATATAAGCAGTGGTTGGAGGGAGAATTCTGCACAGAATGCAGCTGGTCCTTTCTTAGTTGACTGCTTCTATAACTAGCAGTTAGAGTTCTATTTAAGTTGTCTATGTCATCTTGATTTAAGTTTGGTAGGCGTCTGCATCAGGAGATTCATCCATTTCTTTCAGGCTTTTCAGTGTGGTGTTAATGCAGATTTAAAAAATATGTCCTTATGATGCTCTGAGTTTCCTTGGTGTCTTTTTGTAATGCCCTCCTGTTCACCTCTAATTTTATTAGTTTGAATCTTTTCTCTCTGTCTTCTGGTTAATTTGGCTAAGAGTTTGTAAGTCTTGTTGACTTTCTCAAAGAACCAACTCTTCATTACATTGATTCCTTTGAAGAAAGAACTAATGTCAATACTCCACAAATTATTCTACAAAATAGAAATGAAGGAACATTTCCTAATTCTTTTCACTAGACCCTTATTACCTTAATGCTCAAACTACACAAAGATTCAACAAAAAAAGGAAATTGCAGACCAAGATCCCCTTGCAAACCAAATCCAAGAACACATCATAAAGATTATTTTATTTAAAAAAAAAAAAAAAGCGGTTGGAGAGAAAAGAAAAAAAAAAGAGGCCACATTGTGCAATCTTGCACTCTAGGTGGTGGCTGGTGTGGGGGACAGGAGAGGAGGCCTGTAGTAGGGGGAATCCCCTGGGCCTAGTGGCAGGTTGAGTGGCTATTGAAGGCTCTAAGGGTCTCTGGTCTCTCCCTGGGTAGACAGTAGTGGTATCGTTCCCAGAGATGGAAATCAGATAGATGGGACAGGAGATCAGCCATCGTGTGTAATCTTCCAAGTTCTGTTAAGCTGAAGGTTCCTAAGCATGTCACTTCTGTTTGCTAAACTTAAATTCACCGCTCAACTAGGAAGATAGGGGAGGAGAGGAGCAAAGAGTCTTCCCAGCTTCTTGGGAGAAGGGACAGGAGCCAGGCTTCCTCCAAGCACCTCAGACATACCAGCCTGGAATTTGGGGATTGCCCCAAAGAGGACAGGGAGGGGACTGGTGTTGGTACCAGTCTCTGCTCTGCCCTGGCCTTTGGCTTTTCAGGACAATCTTCTGGCCCTCAGCCCCTTCTACCTTGCTGGAAATAGCTATTGCCTGCCCAGACCCATACTTGAGGCTACTTTCCTCCAGCTGTGGTCCCTGCCTGATGCTCTGAAGACCTGTAGGTGCAGACCTGGGGCTTGTCATAGCTCTTCCTCTCTTCTCTGGAAGGCTGTGTAGCAGCCTTACTGTGATTCTGACTCCACAGGATCTTTGGCCATATCTGAGCTTCCCTGTTCTCATCAAGGTCTAGGGGACTTCTGACATCTTTCTGGGTTTCCTAAGGCCCTCCTCTTACCTAGGGTTCAATCTCAGGTCATCTATCACTTTAAATCTCGACACAGCCCTAGGTAGGAAGTTTTGGTTCCTGCAGCACAGAGATCTATGAAAGGTACTCCTCATGCCGGGGAATGGTCTGCCACTGTGTTATCTTCCTGGGACAGACAGACAAGCTCAGCTCTGTCCTAGGCACAGAACCAGAGCACAAGCTCTGCAGCCTGGGCAGGAACAGAGATGTGCTTGTCACCGGCTCAAATGGCGGGGGCCAGTAATTCCACATCTAGCGTTCCTCTGAGGTCACTTGTCCACCACTAACTCTCCTCCGCCTCCTCCGTCCACAGTCTCTCTCCTGCCTTTGTTTTCTACCTTCCCCTCCTGTCCCCATTCTTCTGGTCTAAAAGCCTTACCTACTTTCCTGGGCCAGAGTGGCTGGACACTATTACCTGGTTCCTGGGGAGTGCTGCTCCTAGCTGCAGCAGATTCACCCCATCTATCCGGACACTTGGGCAGCAGGTTTTCTAACCTGCCATGATCTTTTACACACATAGTCAGCCCTCTACTTGCCACATAAGGGAGGCCATAGGTGGGCCTCCCTGCTCTCCTGGGTTGCCTAGCGGCTGGAGAACAAACAGCCGGGTTCAGCCTCAGCCTCTCCTACGATGCCTTCCAGCCTTCTCCCTCTTTCTCTCCTGGGAGTCCTTCACTATCAACCTCAGGGCCTCTCATCCTATTGAAAAGGAAACCTGCCTCAGCCCCTGGTCCCCTCCTGCCTTCAGGCTGTGTCCACCTGGAAGGGCCTCTACCCCAGCAGTAGCCCCCATCCCTTGTCCACCCCAGCTGCTTTTGCTGAGGTCTCCTGGGCACAACTCTGGCTCTGTCCCTGACTGCTCCTGCCCTCTCGCTGTCTCTGTGAGTCAGAGCTCTCATGTCTGCTCAGGCTGCTGGGAAATTCCTCCAGGGTTGGCAGAGGCCACGCTAGGGTGAGAGGATGACTGACAAAGCTACAGTGGCCATCTCCTGAGAGGCCCCTGAGCAAGTGCTTGAGAACTCCAAGCAGAAGAGTAAAAGGACAGTAAATCTGAATGCTCAGTTCCCTCAGGTTGGGGAATCCAGCTAGTGTGTATAAGTTGGGCAGGTATGCGGGTGAGAGTTAGATCTCTATTGTACAAGCCAACTCCCCAAATCCGGGAGCTGCTCTGGGCCAGGGACCCTTGAAAGACCCTCCTCATTCTGCAGAGTTGCCTGGCCCCATCAGCTGCTATCCAGACCTGTAGTCCTCTCCCACCTGTGGGACTACAGGAGGGCTCACAAGACGACAGATGAAAAACACTGTTGACCTGGGCCTTGGGGAACAGTAGGGCACTTTGGGCTTCTCTGGTGCCTGCCTCATAAATGGGGCATTTGTAGACTTAATTTCAGAGTTGATGTCACAGTCTTTCCCCACAGCCCTCCCCACTGAGTTAGTTTACTGAGAGATCTCAGTTTACTCCACTCAGATCCTAGCCCTGTGGGCTTTGGGGTCACAGAGCGGCTCTGAGAATGTGGCTGTGCTGCAGAAGATGTTTCTTCTCCATCCCCCTTCTAGAAAACGGGCCTAATCCAGCGGCCTCCTAGAATAGTGTCTTAGTTACTGGTTAGAGTTCATGGCCATCATGGCGGAAAGCATGGCAACAGGCAGTCATGGTGCTGGAGCCGTAGCTGAGAGCTTACACATGAGCCACAAGCGTGAGGCAGAGAGAGAGGGGAGGGGGAGCGAGAACTAATTGGGAATGGCATGGACCTTTGAAACCTCAGCATCTACCTAAGCCCCGGTGACACACTTCTTCCATCGAGGTCACACCTCCTGATACTTCTGTCTTAGGGTTTTATGGCTGTGAAGAAACACCATGACCAAGCCAACTCTTATAAAGGGAAGCATTTAGTTGGGGCTAGCTTACAGTTTCAGAGGTTTGGTCCATTATTGTCATGGTGGGATGTACCGCAGCATGCAGGCAGACAAGTCCTGGGGAAGGATCTGAGAGTTCTACATCTGGATCTGCAAGCAGATGTAGAGTCTTGAGCTTGAGGCCTCAAAGCCCACCCCCTGGTGACAAGCTTCGTCCAACAAAGCCATGAATATTCTAACAAGGCCACACCTCCTGATAATGCCACTCCCTATGGACCAAATATTCAAACACATGAGTCTAGGGGGAAATTGGACTGTTCACCCCTGTGTCCCAGTTTCCCATTTGGGAATGGTTACAGTCCCCAACCCATATTGGCCACCTAAAGGAATTTGCAGCTTCTGTCTGAGGCAGGGACCTGACTCCACCCAGGCACTCTTGGGTGAGTATGCTCAGAAACATAGTCAGCAGCTTTGGTTGGGAGCCTGGGCATTGCCTCCAAGGCTCTCGGCAATAGGGGGAGGGGCTGGATGGTTGCCAATGCCTGTCCTATCCTGGGTGGGTGTCAGGCAGTGCTTACTCTTCTGTACTCTTCTTCAGGGAACAGAAAGAAGCCATGAAGGAAAAGATGCGTGAGACTGAGAACATGATCGCTGCCAAAGAGGTGCAGGGTCTTGTTGGCAACATGGGTGAGCCTCCTGCAATTCAGCCCCAAATGCAGGCCTGCCCCAGGCAGGAAAGTCTCCAGATGGCAGTGTCTGCGGTGGCTCCTCTTCAGAGGCCCCTGCCACCCTCACTGGGCCCTCTGCTCAGCTTCCCAGAGAATGTCCTTTGAGCATAACCCCAGGAGGAACTGCACAGTGGGCATCTCCTAGGAAGGACAGAGCTCACTATGGTGTGTGATTTGGCCATGGCACTCCTCAAGCCATGTTTTCTTCCTCCTCACTCCATGTCCCAGGTTTGGCATTATCCGCACGTGAGCACTCTGTTCCTTTACGATTAAAAATTAACCCAAGCTCACTGCAGAAAAACAGAAGGCACAACTACCTATCGGCAGTAGCGCCTTTTCGCTGAGAGCCCAAGGTGGCGGCCAGCTTCCAGCTTCCAGCATCCTAGACAGACGCAGGGCAAAGCAGAGCGGAGGATGGGGAGGGGTGCAGGTTCAGGGCTGAGGGTCCAGGCTCACATCCTGCTCAGCCACCTGTGGCTCAGTTCTTTAGTCACCGAAGCGGAGTGTGCACGTTACAGAAGGCTAGTGAGGTCCAGTCTTCTGAGTTGATGCTTTGATGCAATAGGGTTAGAATGGTGCCGCCACACGGCAAGCGTACTCTAGTGTTGGCTAATATCCTCACAGAGCTCACTCACCTCGGCCTCCCCAGTACTGAGGTTAAGGGTCACTAGCCCCAGCTTTATTTTTACCACATCTCAACTTCACAGCGGCACAAACGTATACCCATTTTGTCACAAAATCGGGCCTTGTGTTAGGTGATTTTAGCTCAAAGGTAGGCAAATGTGAGTATTCTGAGAGCATTTAAGCTGGGCCAGAGTAAGCTTTGATGCCTAGTACACTGGGTGTAATTAGATATATTTTCAGCTTACAGTATTTTCTACTTATAATGATTTTACCAGCTCGGAACTCCCTTGAATTAAAAAAAAAATTGCCTATATGTGTATTTATGTCTATAAAACTTTTTTTAGGGGGGGGGGCACAGTTTCACTAAGTAGCCTAGGCCGGCCTTTAGCTCAAGATCTTCTTGCCTTGTTAGTGCTGGGATTGGGGGCATGCGTCACCCACGCTTGACTGAAATTGTTTTAAAGAAAACCATAAACACTATCGTTCTATCTACCACTTGAGAATTTTGCCCCAGGAGTTGTTTGTTTAGTTATTTGTGGTACAGGGTATTGAACCCAGGGCTCCAGCATGGAGGCAAGTGCTGAGCTCTAACCCGCCCCGGGCCCACCCCTGGTCCTTCAGAAGGCTCTTGCCTGTGAGTGTGAACCTCCTGGCTTTGGGGTCTGCCTTCTGCACTCACACCTGGCTGACCGCCCTGCGAGCCCTCTTTCTTCCCTGCAGCCTCATCAGCTCTGCTGTTGCCCCCACAGTTTCCAAGAAGAACAGCACCCTCACCTTCAACAGGCTAGAAGAATACAAGAAGAGAAACTACGTGAATGCACTGGCGAGATTTCAGGAGGAACTAGAGCAGATTGGGGTGGTGAGAGCCGGCTCCTCTGTCCTCCGTTCTTGTGGCATTGTGGGTGGGGAGGTGTGTTTTCATTGCCCCCAGCCTCCCTTCTCCTCCTCACTGTCTGGTCCTCAGCGCCTCACCAAAACACAGACAGGGAACCACAGAAGTCACGTTCAAGGGGCTTGTTAGAGGGCTGTCACCTGCGTAGGCTCCCTTAACTCTCCGGAAATCCCTGTAGGTTACAGGCGTTACCTTATCTTGCAGAGAGGTGCAGAGTCTTGTCAGATAAGTTTAAAAGGGGCCAGATCAGAATTACCTTTGGGTCTGGCTCCAAAGCCCAGCCTTTGACTTACCACCAGCCCTGCTGAAGGAGGGACAGAGGTAGCTAAGGATGCACCCCACCGACAGTTCAGCATGCGTGGGATCTATATTAGTCATCTTTTCTACACAGTGACCATGGCAACTCATAGAAGTAAAGATTTATGTGGGCTTACGATTCCAGAGGGACGTGACCATCACGGTAAGGAGGCATGGCAGCGAGTGGCAGGCATGGTGGCAGGAAGCCTAGAGCTGGAGCCTTCAGATGCACGCACAGAGCAAAGAGCGCAAACGGGAAGTAGGGAAGTAGGGCGAAGCTTTACGCTCCCAACAGCGCCACCAACTGGGGATCAAGTTCAAATGCCCAAGACCATGTGGGCCATTTCTCCTTCAAAGCACGACAGACTCTTCCATACCTCCCCACCCGTGTTCCTGTCTAGACTTCATCTCTAACCACAGCTGAGCCTGCAAGGTTCCTAAATGAGACCATGCCCCCATACTCCTCTCTGAGACACAAGCCTGCACCCCTCACCTGCGCTCTTCTCTGACCCCTTGTCTCGAATCCTATGTGTCCAAGGCACTAAGAGCAGACTCCGGCCTTGTCCTCATTATGTTCCAACTAGATACCAGCCCTTCCTTCACTGCTTCTTCACTTCCATCAGCCTTGGTTTTCATATATAAAGGAAAATCAGTTTTCTTTCTTCTGCTTATTTAATCACTGTTGAATACCAATTATGGGCTATGAAAAAAAAAGGAGAACATGACCACTCGTAAGTATGACTGAGGAGAAGAATTTTATTGTAGATATGAGGGAAAGTACAGCCAGAGGCATCTGGAAGGGTCCAGACTGAACAAGGCCATGAGAGGAGAGGTGAGAGAGAGTGAGAAAGGAAGAGAAAAAAGAGTGAAGAGGTGAGAGGACCAAGAGCCAAGAGAGCCAAGAAAAGAGGACAAGAAGGCACGCACCCGAATTGGCAGTTATATAGGACACGTGGCCGAAATGGCGGGGTTATAAAGGAAAGAGAGGCTGAAAAAAGCAAAGAAAGCCCCTGGGGCTGGAGAAGTTTAGGGTAGTGGGTGCTGAGAGGAGCTACAGGTACCAAATGAACCTTGGAGCCAAGTAGACCTTTGGGTATGTTAATAGGCACCTCAGTGAGCCATTTGTTCTGTTTCTTTGGGACCCAACAGGCTAGCCTTAATGGCAGCCCCTCCTTCAGCTTCTGAGGGGAGAATCAAGTGGTAATATGCACCACACAGGCGCTGTGCCTGCTCTGCCATGGGACGCCCTGGTCCTGTCTGGGGGTGAATTCATCCTCCGTCCTCAACTCCCCAGGTGTAGAGGCTTGGCATCTCCCTCATTACAGGGTGGGCCATCTCCTCCTGGGGTGTTTATGCCCTAACCCTCAGCCTCCTGACCTGTTGCAGGAGATGGAACCCCTCATCCTGGAGAAAGGGGAGACCCTTTTGAAAAAGATGTTCCAGTCTGATGAGGATATTGATCAGCTCTTCAAGAAAGTCGAAAACGAACTGGACCTGGCCAACTACACGATTGAAGTAGGGATTCCCCTGGTGGCGACCTTCTCCCCCTCCCTCTCCAGGGGCTCCTGGTCTGACCCAGTTCCCCTGTGCAGACCCTGTCGGAGCTGTGGGAGAACGTGGCTGAGAAATTCAGGCAACAGAAGCAGGAGATTAAGGAGCTAGATCAAGAGCTGTTGGCACTGGAGGTTTCTCGAGCCGACAAGGCAAGCGGGCTTCAAACGGGCCCCTTGGTGGCTTTCCCTGGAAGGGTTTGTGAGATATCATTCTTTTCCCTGTTAGCTAGGAACTGAGTGTCACTCACAGGGATGCCTTCCCCTCTCTAGCTAAAGGAAGTGCTGAAGAGATACGTTGACATCATAGAGAAAACCGCCTTCCTCCTGCAGCCTGATGTATACAGGCTGATAGATAAAGAAGCCATGGTGAGTGGTGCTCCGCGGTGGGCGTGTGGCCCCGGGTATCCTGACACGCCACAGGATATCGAATCTGTGACGTACCTAAGCACCCGGGCTTCTTTGGTTGAGAACCAAACGTTTGTAAGTTCATTCCGACAGCAGTCTCCGACAGCGGTGTTTGCGGTCTCCTGCTGGCTAGAGCTGCACGCCCAGCATTCAGCCGTCACTCCCCGGTCCATGGCCCAGCTACTGCGTGTGCAGTGCTACGGGCGCCACACTCTGGAGTGGTCATCTTAGGGCTTACACTGCCCCAGGGCTCCCACCCTCCGCAGTCCCAGTCTACCCTGGTTTTCTCATCCTTCCCGCCTGCCCTCCTGGCCAGGAGTGTCTGTGACTACACCACACCTGCCTCTTGGCTCCGTCTCTTTCCTCCCAGCCTCCCCTCACCGCTGTCTGAGATGGGAAGTGAGAGATGTAACGTTGTTGATGATGTCTCCAGAGTAAAGCTTGACCCTCTGCCACGTGAGGGGGCTCCTGCCTGGGCTGCTGGGATGCCCTGTGCAGTCGTGTTTGTGCAGAGCTGGGCATGCCCGAGGTCTCCAGTGGGGGACAGCAGTGCTCCCTGCTGGGACGTGTTTGGAGGATGACAGCAGAGGACCTGACAGTGACCCAGTGTAACTTCACGTCTAGGTTGGGGTTCCTGCTTTCAGGAACATGATTAAGCCTTCTACAAAGATCCGTGAACGGTGGCTACTTCCTTGTCTGTTAATCCTGGCCACTCCTCACACCCTACCACAGCCTCCCTTAGCCCTGGCCCACGCCTCTCTCTGCTCCTCTCCTGGTCCCTCTGATTGTGTTCTCCGGCCTGAGAACTGCCCTGTCTTAAAGCCCTACCCACCTCTGACCACAGGCCATGAACCAGGCTCTACTAGGCAATCGGAGGGCCATCGCCCAGCTGTTGATCAACCTGACTGAGGTCACCCTACAGCAGGAGGTTGACAACCGCCGTCGCTGGCAGGGCGTGATGGACACCTGGAAGGCTCTCAAGCAGGAGGCCCTGTTCCAGAGCTTCATGTCAGTGGTGACCTCCCTCACCCTCCCTGACGCGCACCTACAACTCCCTCCAGTCACCAGGCTGCTTTTTCCTGCCCTCTCCATCAATATTTTAAAATGCTGTTTTCTATGCCCCTATGTTTAAAGTTAGAAATAGATAAAAGATAGAAATAAGATATAAATAGATATAAACAAATAGACAGAAATAGATATAAATAAATAGATAGAAATTAAGAGTTGCTGCTGACCCTTCCTAGAAGTACAGCTAAGACTTGGGCATTTAGACTCATGGAGCCCATGCCATTTTAGATTTTTTCCCCCACTATTCTCTGAGCTCAGTATGAATTACCAGAAAGTGTTCATGTAATTATCTGTATAACTTCCATTCTTCTGTATTAGTTATACTTCAGGGGCCTGGGCCTGGAAAGACAGGCATCTCTCAGGTGATAGCTCCCGCCTTTCAGGAGCAAGTTTTCTCTATAGGAGACATGGAGAGGAGAGGGCCCATCTCTGCACTGTGTGCTGAGGCTCAGGCTTGCCCTCCCGTGTGACCTTGATGAAGTCCCCCAAGTACTCCCAGCTGCTTCCTCCACACAATACACACCCCAACAGCCCTATGGTCTCAGTGATTCCTCAGTGAGATGCTCTATAAACAGAACCTGTCTGGGCCCAGGCCCAGAATTGGGACCATTACAAAAGTCAACAGATAGCAACAGCGAATGGCCACAGCTGACTTTTCCTAGAAACTTCCCACGATGCAGGGCATGGGGCTCAGGACTCTGTCGTCTTTCTGAGTCCTCACAAGTTCCCAAAGTTCCTAATGGTGCTGCCATTAGCTCTGTGTTACAGTCTAAGGCTCAGAGTGGAAGAGGGACTCATTCTGGGTCACAGAGTAGGAGATCAGGACCCCATGATGCCACTGGGCTGAGAGGTAGCCAACAGTTCTTCCTGCCTGCCTTCCTCCTCACACCCCCCTTCTGTCCTCTGTGACCTTGACGTATCAGTGGTGGGGCTATTACAACCTAGGTTGGCGGGTCAGGGTTATGGAGCTCTGAGAACTCTCCCTCCCACTTCTCCCTTGGGTCTGGATGTCCAGCGAGTTCATGGCTAGTGACAATATCCTGGAGCCCCCATCTGTGCGGAAGGAGCTGGAAGAAATGCTGAAGAACCAGCAAGTCCTTCAGGAAGTGAGGTTGGATCATCTCTGCACCATCTGGTATGTCACCTTGACACCATTTGGTATGATGTGCAGGAAGGGTCACTGTGGCCAGTACCTTTGGGGGTTCAGTGGGGAGGCCACGTGGCCCGGATATTCCCCAGAACCTCTTCCATACCAGGTTATTTTCTGGTGCTGGAGGACTGTATTGGCCAGACCCAAAAGCAAGAAAGGTCATAGCTCACTTGCTGTGGATAGAAGCTTAGATAGGTCCTGCCAGAGGGCTCACTAGGAAGCAGTGGCCAGAGAGGAGGGAGGAGAAAGAAGGGAGGAGCGTGGAAGGAGGAGGGAGAGGTCTGGTAAGAAATTACCCCAACAGGGCTTTGGCCCTTATCCTGAGGCTCTTTGGAGGCAGGTGAGAGGCCACAACACTGGGAGGCTGCTGTCACAGAGGAGGCTCCATTCAGAGCTTTTCTGATAGTGACCTTGTGACTAATAAAAAGCCTGTTTTTGGCTTGTTTGGGGCACCAGGAGATCCCAGAAGGTTCCTTAGGTATGTTGAACACGCTGGCTGTTTTGGCAAGTTTTGTTCCCTCATGGCTTACCTGTCATCTCCTCTTTCCCCAGTAACCTCCTCCCCCCCAACTATAGCAAAAAACAGGTGACTGAGTGGTTTGACTCTCTCACTTCCCTGAACAAGCAGCTTGGTGAGTAATGTCCGTGGGATCTCCAGGACTTCCCAGACCTCTGTCCAAGGACTAGCTTGTCATAGTCAGTTTTTGAGTCATTTATGTGAGGAGTGGAGACCCTTCCACCTCGGGACTTTAGGATTAGGGACCTCTTCCTCTACTTGCTGCCCAGTCCACAGCCATGCTAGCTATAAACTCTGACCTCTGACCCCTGACCCCTGGCCCAAGCATGGAGATAGGGACATAGAGTCTCTACTCTCAGGATGGCGTAATGACCGTGTCCTGAAAGTCTTAAAGGTGGAGATATAAGATTAAGGCCCAACTCTGCCGCGTCCTGTTACACGGCCTTGGGGAAGCCTTATGTGAACACAAAGGGCTAGGAATATTGACTACCATTTTGTAGGGGAAGTGTGACAAGTCTTACATTAGAAAATGTGATTGTTTTTTCCAACTTTTGAAGCTCAGCACAACCCAGTGAGGCCAGTGGCTGCGCACTAGTTACTTGTGTCACTGCAGCACAATACTTGACGAGTAGCTGGAGAGAGAGCAAGGGTCCATTTTGGCTCATGGTTTTAGAGGATTTTAAAGGCATGTCTGCAAGCAAGATGGCAGGGGCCTGCAGTAGAGACTCCCCACATCACAGTAGACCCAGTGGTGGAGAGGGCAAGGCTGTGACCTTTAAAGGGTCACATGACTACCCCCAATGATCTGCTTCTGCCAGCTAGGCTTCACCTCTTAAAGGTTCCAAAGCCTCTAAAAATGGTACCACCAGCTTGCAAGCACGTGTTCCAAACCAGAGCCTGTGGTGTGCATTTCGGATTAGAAACTTTCGTAGGCGCCACTGTCCCTGCCTTCCAGAGGACCTCCTGAACCTGAGGCTTCTGCTAGGCTCCTCGTAGGAGGTCGTCTTCCTCTGAGGAGGGAGACGCAGCCCCTGGCCTGAGTAGAGGGCTCTGAGCAATCTGAGCCAAATAACCCTCTCTGTGGAGGCTCTCTGCTAGGGGAGAGCTGATTCCTTTCTGCAACAGGAACACCTCTCCCTATGACCTTTCCCTTTCTCTTGGGAGAGTGCCTGCCTGACTCAGTTGACCCATTTTGTTTTCCGCCCCTGGAGACACCTACCACATGGACTGCATGGCGCTGGTACGCTTCCTGTACGAGAAAACTTGGCAAGAGTGCCTGACCCATGTGCAGGACTGCAAGGTAGGCTTTCTCCTCTGTAGGCCTGGGAAGAGGAGCTGTGCGCCGGCACCTGCCATCCCCTCTCCCCACAGCCTTCTCTGCCTCCCCCAGATCCTTCAGTCTTGATCTAGGCTTTTCTTCCTTCTTGTCAGTCACCAGGTACTGACTGGCCATTGGGCATTCTGGTTACCTCTACCAGGCTGCCCCTCCAGTCTACAGGGCTTACCCCAGCATAGTTTCCTCTGGGAAGCCCCTGTGAAATGGAATTTGTGTATTCATGGGCCATCTCTGCCATTACCCTCAGCTGTATGCTTCATAGCACTGGGCTTTGCCAAAGAGGGAGGCCATATTCTAAGGGGACACCACAATGTCGCTTTAATAGACAGTGCTGATCCTGGCTCCAACCCTACCATTCTCTCTGGCCCATCTGCCTCTGGGCAGGGTAAAGCAGTGGGTTTATTCCCAACCTGTCCAGGACACTGGCCGGTTTTCTGGAATCTGGGAAATAGTTTGTCAAAATATCTCTTCCTGCCTCCTTGGTAAAAGTGTCTAGATGAAAAAGCCTGCAAAAGCCTAGGCATTTTTGAAAAGTTCTGAGTCCCAAAGGCTACCCCTTACTACCCCCAGCGAGTGCCTCCTATTCTCCAGCTACCTCTGGCCAGCTCTGCTCTACATCTAGGAGCAGACTCGGGGAAATTCATGTTCTACTTGAAACCCTCGGGGGGCAGCTTACAGGTAACTGAGTATTTCACAGCCCCATGCCCAGCTCTGTCTTGTTCTTCTCCCCACCTCCCCCACCCCCACAGAAGCAGCTGCTGGACTGGAAAGCTTTCTCTGAAGCAGAGGCAGAGAACCTGGTGAACCCAACCTTCTTCCTGATGGTGGGGGAATTCCAGAGCAAGGTGGAGAAGCAGCTGGAGCTCCTGGATGTATGTACAGGGGAGCTGGGACCTCTTGAGGTGTGTCTGGCACTGTGAATCCTAGAAGTCTAGGATATCCCTGGTGTGTCCACTCTCTGTCCCTGGGTTAGGCCTCCTGGGTTAGCCACACCAGACTTATCCCTTGGGTCCTGGAAACCAGCCTGACACCAGGGCTGCTCAGCCTTGGAAAAGTCACTTGGGCCATGAGTGAGTGTACAGGAATCACTGTTGACCCTTGTGTTAAAGGCTGGAAAAGACAAGAAGCTCCCAGTCTCAATATGTTTGTAGTCTTGACCGAGACTCAGCACAGCTTTCTTGTGAAAGGCCAAATAGTGATTGTGTTAGGCCTTACAGGCCACAGGTGCCTGTCACAACTTGTCACTTTTATCAACCTAAGCCATGCAGAAATAAAGGGTGTGGATGCATTACAATATCTTTATTAGAGGCCGGTTCATTTAAGTTTCAAGTTATTTTTTCACTACTTTTGATTTTTTTTTTAATGATTTAAAAATAGGAGAATCTGTGCTTTAGCTCACAAGTCCAAACAAAAACAGATGAAGGGCCAAATTTATTCTGCAGTCCTGTCTACCAGTCTCTGTCCCAGATGAATGCATCCAGCCCGTGTGTTCTTGTCTTTTACATGTGTGGCGCTGGTCCTCACATCTGCTGGGAAAGCCCCCTATCAACCAACTATCTCCAGTCCTACCACGTAGAGTTTTTTTTTTTTAATTAGATTCATGTTATTTTATGTATTTATGTGTTTTGCCTGCATGTGCATCACGTGTATGCCCAGTGCCTGGGGGACCAGAAGAAGGCATCAGAGAACTAGAGTTATGAATGATTGTGAACCGCCCCATGGGTACTTGGAACCCAGGTCTTCTGCAAAAGCAACACATACTCTTAACCACCGAGCCATCTCTGCAGCCCTTGGCATGTCTTTTTTTAAAAAAATAATCTATTTAATTTTATTTTATGTGCGTTAGTGTGAAGGTGTCAGATCCCTTGGAATTAGGGTTACAGACAGTTGTGAGCTGCCATGTGGGTGCTGGGAATCAAACCCAGGTCCTTTGGAAGAGCAGACAGTGCTCTTAACCACTGAGCCATCTCTCCAGCCCCAACATGTAGTTTTTAAAAGGTGAATCTGTATGTGAGATTTTAGGACAGCAGGGTATGGAATTGTACCCAGATGGTAAGAGGCAGAGTATTCTAGAGAAATGCCCAGGTCCTGCTGCCCCATGTAGGGAAGGCCAGGAGTCCAGATGGAGACTCAGTTAAAGTTTCTATTTCTAAAACATGACGATGCAATCAACTTGGTGACCAATGGGTCTATTTTGTTTATACTTCCACATTGTAGTCCATCAGCCAAAAAAGTCAAGACAGAAACTCAAGGCAGGACCCTGAGGTGGGGAAGCAGAAGCCCGGAACACGGCTTTCTCCTCACGGCCCCCTCAGCCTGCTTTCTCACACAGGGCAGGACCACCTGCCCAGGGGTGGGTAGCACCAGCCACAGTGGGATGGGCCCTCCCACACTAACGATCAATCAAGAAGATGCCCGGCAGCCTTATCTGTGGGCCAATCTCATTCTCTCAGCTGAGGGACTTGTTTCCCAGCCTGTGGCAAGGTGACTCAAAACTAACCAGCACAGAGCCTAACGCTGACTGTGGGGGACATGCCCAGGTAGTAACTTCTGTTCTTGGAGACCCGGGGCCCAGTGGACAGGCCACCCTCAGGGCCTAGGGGAGTCTGCCCTCCAGGCAGCCTTCTCCGTTTTCTGTCACGGCAGAACTCCTTTGAGGCCTTGGCCAAGCAGACAGAATTGCAGAGCTCAGACATCTTCAGGTACTTCCAGGAGGCAGTGCGGCTGTGGGAGGGGCACCAGAGCATTCTCTTGGCCCAGGAGCTGGAGCTGGAGAAGAGGATAGAACATCATCGGCAGAAACACAACCAGGAGAACCAGGTGCCCAAAGCCTGGGGCCCTGTGGGGAGAAGTGGGTGGAACCCAGACCGCAGCCCTCTGAGCTCAGCTGGCTTTCAGATGAAACAAACAAACAAATAAAAAGGCCAACTGAGCAAGAGCACCATAAACAAAAATGAACTGAAAATAGAGTCTAGGCCCAAATGTAAAACCTTAACTACAAAATGTATGTTCATGGAAGCACCAAGGCTTGCCTTGATCTTGGGGTAAGATGGGAGTAGCAGAAAAAAACCCAAACCAGGCCAGAGCCCTGTAATGTGTCTTGGGAACCCAAGAATGTGCACAAGAGAGGCAGAAAGACAGAAAGAAAGACAGACAGACTGACTGACTGACTGCCTGGGGAACAGTCTGGGTAGTTAAAATAACATGGCGTGGGGTTGGTAGGGTAGTTTAGCAATAGCACTTACATATAAGCCTATCGACATGAGTTCAATCCCTGGGTCCCATAAGCTGTCAGAAGAGGCTCCCAAGAATTGTCCTCTAACCCTCACACACATGTGCCTGTACACCTACAAACAAGCATGCACACACACACACACACACACACAGAGAGAGAGAGAGAGAGAGAGAGAGAGAGACAGAGGCACATAAACAGAGATATACAGGAACATTCACACACACTGAGAGAGACAGACAGAGACACACATGTACACACACACACACACACATTGAGAAGCAAAAGAGAGGAATAAATAAATAAATAAGAATATAAAAAAAGAAAACCAAGGTATAATTTCATGAGCTATGGCTTACTGCTGGGCCAAGAGAATACACCCTTTCTCCCCCGTAGTGTTGAGACCATAACAATGTGACCAGCCTCGCAGGGACTGCAGTGATAGACAGGGGCACGCCCCCACAGTGAACTCCAGAACTATTAATATGCAGTTGTTGGAGTAGGAAGGAAGCAGACCCTTGTGGGAAGTAAAGTCTAATTGAAAACCATGGTAACCCTTTTGAGGAGAAGCTTCTCAGGAGAAACTGGCTAGGCCCCGCCCCACAACATAACAAGTAAGGTTGCTTTATTATGAGGAAGTGCCAGCCTTGGCTGATGGCTTCAAAGCTCCCAGGCTTGGGTCAGCCTGAGCTCTCTTAGTCTCCAGGGTCCTAGCTGACCGTCATGTCTGCCACAGTCTGAGCCCGCAAAGTGGCTAACTCTTGAATTGGAAGACTTTTTGAAGTCCACTTGTGGAAGCTGGTAACTGTCCTGTGTGGTCTGATAAAGCGAGGTGTAGGTAGCATTTCAGGGGACTGGCTCCAAGTTCTCACCTATGGAGTCTCGAAAGATGTCACCCTCTTTAGGGAGAGGGAAATACACCTCCAGTTCATGGTACAGCACCACAAGTGTCAGGCAGGTAGCAAACTGTGTGTCCAGCGTCACCCAAAGCTATGTAACAGGGACATTGCAGCACATGTCAGCCAGTCACCTGCCCACACAGCCAGCACCAGACCTGCCTACCTTCAAACATGGGGCCCAGACACAAGAGAAATGCCCTTGAGCTGGGTCCTTGGGGAGGCAGATGGGGACAATGAACATTCCAGGAGCAGAGTAGAGCCCCGAAGTGTGTTCTGGAGAGAGAGAAGGTGATCACTGGTGGCCCTCTCAGGCTTTTTGCCTAAGCCCCAACCCCAGAGAGAGTGGGATATGACCTCACTAAAGTCCTGCCAGCTCTGCACACTCACCTGTGCTCCTCTTGTTTGGGGAATGGCTGCCAGGCCCAAGAGGCTAACCTTGACAAGCTTCTAGACCAACTGAGACAGCAGAGCCAAGAGGAAGCCCTGAAGACGAGTATGGAAAAGACCAAGAATTTTCTGAAGAACATGAAGTGCAGGTATGCTGACCAGCCCTCAGAGGACAGGAGGGGAAGACCAGGATTCACAGTTAAGGGAACACCAGCCAGCACAGGAGACCAGGGATGTGATCAGCAAACTCCAATAAGAAAGCCGAGGCCTCAATACTGGAGAACACTAATGACCCTTTGCTCCTCGCCCGGGGAACCCGCAGAATTTCCCAGGGAGAATTGCGGCAAGTTTGTAGTGAGAACTTTCAAGGCAATTGAGACTAAGAGCTAAGAACTTGGGCTCCCCCTCTTAAAATGTTAACATACATACATCTACTCTTTGTTAAAGGGGGAGAAAAGTCAACTTCTGTAAACACAGATGTCTGCCTCAGTCTCTCCCCCGCTGTTTCTCTATATGAATGTGCACACTTGTGTACACAGAGACATACCAATATGGTGGGTTTTTTTTTTTTTTTAGTTTTATATAAGATAGTTTATTGCTCTTGGTGGGAAGAATTGTCAGCCCAAGTGGCATAATATATATATATAAATATATATATATTTATATATATATATATAAATAACATTCTTTTCTTTAATTATTATTTTTTTTATTAATTACACTTTCGTCACTTTGTATCCCCCCGTACCTCCTTCCCTCCTCCCCTCCCAATCCCTCCCTCTGTCCCCTTCTCCATGCATGCCCCCTCCCCAAGTCCACTGATAGGGGAGGTCTTCCTTTCCTTCCTTCTGATCCTAGTCTATCAGGTCTCATCAGGAGTGACTGCATTGTCTTCTTCTGTGACCTGGTAAGGCTGCTCCCCCTTCAGGAGGAGGTGATCAAAGAGCAGGCCAATCAGTTCATGTCAGAGACAGTGCCTGTTCCCATTACTAGGGAACCCACTTGGACACTGAACTGCCATGGGCTACATTTGTGCAGGGGTTCTAGGTTATCTCCATGCATGGTCCTTGGTTGGAGTATCAGTCTCAGAAAAGACCGTTGTGCCCAGATTTTTTGGTTCTGTTGTTCTCCTTGTGGAGCTCCTGTCCTCTCCAGGTCTTACTATTTCCCACTTCTTTCATAAGATTCCCTGCACTCTGCCCAAAGGTTGGCCATAAGTCTCAGCATCTGCTTTAATACCCTGCAGGGTAGAGTCTTCAGAGGCCCTCCGTGGCAGGCTCCTGACTTGTTCCCTGTTTTCTCCCTCTTCTGATGTCCATCCTCTTTGCCTTTCTGAATGGGGATTGAGCATTTTAGCAATAAAGGCTGGGTTATATAATGTAAACTATTCTGTAACTACAGATCTATTTCAGTTTTTAAGTGACGGTGTAAAATTTATTACTCTAATTTATTACTCTAATTACTTATACATACCTAATATATAAGATACTTTATTATAGGTATGTCATCTCATGTTTAGCTTTTCCCTTTTGGTTCCAGGTTCTCTATACTGAATTACAAGCAGTTCTCTGTGAACCGTTTTATATTTTTGTCCCTCTGTACAGCTGATTCCATAACTGCCATTCATTTCTGTGAATAGACTCACCTTCCATCTGATTGACACACAAATATCTGGATTTATCTTTGGGTAACTAAGTAAGCTTTGGAGCCTGTTTACTTTGCCTGAGAAACAGATCAAATTTATGAGCCTGGTGATGTTTGAGGGTTTGATGGGAAAATGAAGATTATGTTCAAGTATAGAGTTAGGACAAGAAAAGTAAGTCCACATCACAAATCAAAAAAACTCAGGTGCTTCCCAGAGTCTCTACACAGAGCACACATGATTAGAAAAACAGTACAATGGCCCAAAGACTGCTTCCATGAAGAGTAGCCACCCAGCAGCTCCACACAATGCCAGTTGCCAGGTGGAGGTCTGGGGCATGACTTCAGCGAGGTGGGTCCCTCACACTCAGCAGAGCCCCCTCCTTTCCCAGGTACGAGAGTTTTCACATCCTCCTGAGCAAAGAAGTGATGGAGTACCCGGCGTTAGTCCTGAAAGAGCTCAACGGTTACAGCTTTGCACTCAGCCGGCACTTCTTCATCCGGGAAATCTTTGAGCAGGTGTGAAGGGCAGGTGGGGACCCCCGGCCACTCGCTAAGAAGGAAAGGGGAGAGAATAGCTTCCTGTCTGATCTGCTAGACACTCGGAAGCCATCCTTAATTCTGCTAAATAGGAATCCATGTCAGGATGTCACGGATAAAGAGACTGAGAAAAGACATTCTCTTCTTGGTTTAAAAGGGATTAGGGATTAGATAGATGGATGGCTCAACAGATAAAGCCGTTGCTGTGCAGGTATGAAGACCTGGGTTCAGATCCTGAGAACTCACATAAAGCCAAGCACAGCAGCCCACTTCTGTAGTCCCAGTGCTTCTCTGGGGAGATGGGAGTCAGAGACAGGAGGAGCCTCAGAAGCTCAGAAGGCAGCTGGCCTGATAACTTCAGGAACGATAGGGAGGCCCTGCCTCAAGGTGGAAGGTGAGGACTGACACCAAAGCTGTTCTCTGAACTACACACATGGCCCCCCACAGATCCCCCAAGTGTGCACATGATCGACAGGCACCAATCCTAAAATGGAAGGTCTAATTTTCACAGTGCTTTGAGTTCCATTCGTAATGCCTATCACTGCTGCATGATTCTGCCGAAATTAAGCCCAGACCCATTTGCTCTTGCTCAGCTGTTCTTTGTCAGGTCCTACCCCCATCAAAGCCAACTCACCCAGGCTCATGTCAGTTAGGCTCACTCTGGACATCCACCTTTCCAGCTCACTTCTGAGACTGTCAGAATGAGCTCTGATTCTGTCACCTCGTGCTTACCTTGTGGGTGTGCTAGCCTGCTGGGAACTAAGAAAAAAAAAATGCTGGCCTAGATTGAGGACACACAGAGAATGAAGTTGGTCACAGCTTGTGCAGGGCCTTTTTACCCACAGACATGAAACTTTAGAAGTAGCACTCTGGAGCAAGGCTTTGCTGGTCCTATGGTGACTTGTGATTTTTTTTTCCCTTGTAGAACTTGGATGGGGAAGTGATTTTCAAATTCAGGCAACCAGGTAACACAACCTAAGTCCAGTTTCCCTGCTCTCACTCCCGTACATCTGTGGGTGGAGGCCCAACCCAGGCAACGTTAATCACTGTGTTCTTTTGATCACCAACAGAAATCCACGAAAGAGTCTTCATGCAGAAAGTAAAAAAACTGAAGAAAAAACAAATGACGAGAGTGAAAATACACAAAGCTGAAACCAGCATAAGTGAGGAGACAGGTTCTAAGGGGCCAGAAGAAGGCATGGAAGAAGAAGGTGAGGAAATAGAGCCGGTTGCAGCTGGAGAGGCCCTGAACCAGTGGAGCAAGTTCCCACAGAGTGATGGGATGGAAGATCTCAAAGAAGAATCTTTCTTAGACGCTGAAGAAATGCGGGGCATGAGGGAGACTTTCTCAGAGACATCTCAGGACACAGAAAACGTGAAGGCCCCTGAAAAGGAGAGGGTAGAGGCAGATGAAGAGGAGGAAGAAGAGGTGCAAAAGGAAGAGGAGGAGGAGAAGGAAGAGCAGCAGGAGGAAGCAAAAGAGGAGAAGGAAGAGGAAGAACAGAGGGAGGAAGAGGAAGAAGAGGAGGAAATACATGAGGAAGAGGAAGATGAGGAGGAAGAGAATGATAATGATGAGACTGAAGATGTGGAGTATAATCAAGAGAGCTTTTTTATGGATCAGGTAAGCCAGCCCATTGGTTCATTGTTGAGTATGAAGAAAGTTGGCTGTGTTTGTCTTATGTATATTCTTCAGATAAGCCAGGGTCTCTGATATCCCAATTTCTACAGAGGTCTGGATAAAGAGCCACAAGACTGTTCCTTTCTATTTTTGTTAACAAAGATCCAACTCTTTCCTTACTGCAAAGATTTGTAAAATTTACCTTCCTTTCCTTGTGCCCCTACAGCCCTCTTCTGGAGTCATCTTTCTCACGGCTTTCTTCATCTCTCCCTGCGGTCTCTTTCTCACCTCTTGTTTACTGCTCAGATTGCCTCACTCTGTCCTACTTTCAACCCTTTTCTCGTCCTGTTCACTGGATATGTAACAAAACACTGAGGCAACACTCCCTTTGATGGACAGTTTTGTCAACATGTTACAGCCTAGAATCACTTGGAAAGAGTCTTAGTGAGAGACTGTCTACCTCAGGTTGGCCTGTGGGCGTATCTGTGGGGATTGTCTTATAGAGTTAATTGATGTGGGAAGACTCAGCCCACAATGGACAGCAAACCTAGGCAAACCTCATAAGAGAGGAGAAATCAGGCTGAGCGCAATGAGCACATATACATTCATTTCTCTGTGTCCCTAACTGTGGATGTGAGGTGACGAGCTGCTTCAAGCTCTTGCTATCTTGGCTTCCTGCTATGATCAACCACAGCCTAGAATGTGATCTAAAACAAACTCTTTCTCTCCTTAGTTGCTTTTTCTCAGGATGTTCTATCATAGCAATTGCCAATAGGACACTCCCATTTGAGAACTGGCAAGTGACTCATTTAAATAAACCTTGTCTTCAAAACACACCCAAATGCACAAAACCATCGTGGCAGAATGGCAAAACAAAACAAAACATATTTCCTATATTGCCTCTCCTCCTCCTCCTTTTAGTATGAATGCCAAACTCACATCTTCACACATGTTTTGAGAAAAGAGGGTTGAAGGCCAAATGACTAGTGGTAAAAAAAAAGCCATTACTTCTCATTCTCAGCCAATGATAAATCATGTTTGGGGCTGTTTCAAATGGAGACCTGAGGCTTATAAGCGAAACTCCGTCACTTCAAAACTACTGAGGATGTAGCTCAGTACTTGCATGCAAAATGCCCTGGGGTCAGCTCTGCCAGCAAATAAAAGTAAATAAAAGCACTCTGTGTGGGGGAAGGGGATGGTGAGGGAAAGCTCTTATCAGCAGCCTGGTCCACAAACTTTCCGTCCACTGTCCCTGCATCAGTGATGCTGATTTTTAAGCTCCATTCTCCATCTAGGATGAAGACAGGGAAAAGGGCCCCGAGGAGATGTCCGGTGAGGAGATGGAGTTCTTCACAACTGCAAGTGGAAACACTTACTTTGCCTTCCTGTCTGTGAAAGATGAACAAAAGATCCACAGTAGGCCCCATTCCCACCATGCTGTGTTCTTCAATGACTCTTTCAGCAACAAGTACATAGAGCAAGTGATTCTTCCACCCGAACTAATCTTACATGTTAAGAAACAGTGAGTGGCAAACCGCTGCATTCTCTTTCTCTTACTCGGAACTTTCTACCTGAGGTGCAAGAACTAAAGATTCCTTTTAGCTAGAAAGATTAAAAGCTTAGGTAACTGGGGGAGGGCAGGGGTGAGAACCACCATAGGAAATATCAAATATCCTAGAATACCACAGACGTGGATATTCTTGGTGATTGAATAGCATCTTCTCAGAGAGCTCTGTTGGTCTGGGCTCTGTCATAAAAACGCTTTCCCCTGCCATCTACTTCTGGCTTCTAATTTCTAGCTCATCCATAGCTTTAAAGTTTCTTTTATTTTTGAAAGGTTTATTTTTATTTTATGTGTATGACTGTTTGCCTGTATGTATGTATTATATTGTGTGTGTGTTTGTGTGTGTGTCTGTGTGTAAGCACCTGTGGAGGCTAGAAGAGGGTACTCCCAGGAACTGGAGTCACACACAGGGCTGCTGTCTTCTGGTTGCTGGGAACTGAGCCAAGGCCCTCTGTGAGAGCAGCAAGTAAACTCCTGAGCACCTCTGAAGCCCCTAACATCTTTTATTTAAAAATTCTTGCTGGGCGTGGTGGCACATGTCTTTAATCCCAGCATTTGGGAGGCAGAGACAGGCAGATCTCTGTGAGGCCAGCCTAATCTACAAAGTGAGTTCCAAAGCCAGTACTGTTACACAGAGAAACCCTGACTTGAAAAACAAAAAAAACGAACAAACAAACAAAAAACTATAGATATAAGCCAAAAGTATGCTATATCTTGTGTGGCATTTTATGCTGATCAACACAGAAAATGGAAAAAGAACTATGGACAATGAAGAAATGACCTGTTGTCTTAAAAAAAAAAGTATATGCAGCCCTTTGTAGCCTAGTGTTCTGTGACACTATTCTTGGAGAGATGTGAAGAAATGTAGAACCTTTGAGCTCCTCTGTACTTGGCGTAGGCACGGGGTTATTTTTTGCAGCCTTCGCTGTGAGAATAAAAGATTGCAAGCCACCCAGCAAGAGAGCCTAAGTGGATGGAGAGTGTCCATCTACTCGGTGAGATAAAATGTACATGGGGAAGAGAATGAGGTATGAAAGCAGAAGGCACTTTTGAGTCTCAGTGTGAAAGATCTCTTACGGGTTTTAATTGCTGCCAGAGATGACTGACCCTTGCTCGCCGCCCCCACCCCCACCCCCAGGATTCGAGCTGGCTTCTTTGAACATCTTGAGAAGTGGTTTGACCAGTGTGTCCTCAGGGCTCGAGTCACTGTGGCTGCCAAGGTTGACGAACTGGATTCAGAACTGGAGCTCCGTCTGCACCTGCACAAGCCAAGGCTCCAGCATGTGGAGAAGGATATTCACAACGTCAGAGCAGGTTCAAGCTGTCCTGGGAAGGTCTATTTTGTCCTGAGAAATCCCTTACAGGGTCTGCTGTTCCATGGGCTCTTTTTTTGTTTTGTTTTGTTTTGTTTTCCTTTTTTCAGCCCACGATTACCTCATACAATTCTGAATAGGTTATCATCATCACATTTGGAAGGTGTCTGGAATTAACATATGAGATTTTAAAAGCTTCCTTCCTCCCTCCCTCCCTTCTTTCCTTCTTGAGATAAGCCTAGGTTGGCCCGGAACTCATCATGTACCCAAAGCTATCCTCAGACTGGAAACCTCCTTGACTCACCCTCATGAGTGTTTCTTCCTCCCTCCCTTTGTGGAGTGTTAGGGGTAAAAGGAAGAGTGTCATCCTGCTGTAGCTCTTGGCTTTCAAAGCTTCTCAGCCACCCGTCAGTTACGCACCTTCATGATGGATGTTCTAGCAGCCAATCTATAGCTTACAAACCTGACTTCTCGGGTTCAGTTTCTCTGGCTATGTAACTCTGAGCAGGTTGTCTGACCTCTCTTCCCCTTCCCTCCCCTCCTCTACAGGAGGGGGTGTCGAAGTGCTATGGGGAGGAATCACTGCTGTAAAGGGACAGGTCGAGACTTCCCACCTTTGTGCTTGTTGAGGTGTCCTCACCAAGATCCCAGTGCTCCCCAAACACCCACAGCTAGCCGTCTGCCCCCTGAGATTCTCCGTATTCCCAGCTTTGCCCTCTCAGCAAGCTGGAAGGCTCTGCCAAGCAGGGAGCCCAGGGTCACAGCCCTCTCCAGTCTGGGACCTTGAGCGAGATGCTCATTGGCCTTCTTAGGGCCTCAACCCTGTTCCAGTCCTACTCCAGAAAAGGCAGTTGGGTCATGGCGAGGGACCTTACTGGACACGAGTGGTTTTAGCCCCAGGCTGGCCTAGGAGATGCAGTAGGACGGAATGGCCTCACAGGGTACCAGCTCTCCTCACCCTCTTGCAGCTGAGCTCCTGCTTCACAAGGAGAGGCTGGACAGCCACTGTGCGGGTGTGGTTGAGACGCTGAGGAAGGAGAGGCTGATGTTCTGCCAGTTCCAAGAAGAGCAAACGGCACGGAGCAAAACCTTCCGCCGCAAGATCTACGACATGGAGCATAACTTCTTAAATGCCTCCAAGAGCCAAAAGTAAGAGGCTGGAGTGTCTCCTCCTCAGTGCTGGCTCTAGAAGCCCAGCTCCTCCTGGTAAAGGGGAAGGCGGCTCTAGAGAGCCTGCTTTTGAGCTCACCTTTTCCCTAGACTCCACGGGCAATATTTAATGCATGTGAGGCAGGCCAGTGGGGGTGCATAGCCTGTGAGGGAAGAGGTCCATACACACAGTTCATATGCCAGGGTGCCCCCAAATAACCATGCTGAGGAGGACTGCTTCCCCTTGGGGGCTTCTAGAAGAGCATCTAGAAGGGCAGGAGGGCATTGTCAATGAACCCAGAGGCACCTGTCAAAACTTGGGATAGGGGCAGCTGCAAATAGAGCAAGGCCGCTCAGAGGTGTAAGGCAGAGGCCTTATTTGGGTGACAGTAAGGACCATGCTAGGTATCTCAATCACAGGGGCAGCTGGTTCAGGCGGCCCTTATTGCGGAGGAGAGCAGAGGGTAAGGAGGCTTGTGCCACCACACCTGTCTTTTAGTTTCCTCTCTAGAGTTTCTTTCCTGGCCGGAGGAGCCGGGCAGTGTGTCTGGCAGTGCCCAGGATTCCCACCAGGCTCAGGTCACACCCCACCTGTTTCCTGCCTGTTTCCTGCCTCCCAGGCTGGCCATTTGCCACTACCTACCTCTCTCCTCTCTGCACAGGCTGGCTAATCTCACCAAAGCCCTCCACCGGGAGCTGCTTAGCTATGTGGATGTCATGCAGGTGTCCCTGCGAAGCTTCCGGCAGTACCTGGAAGAGAGTCTGGGCAAGCTCCGCTACACCAACATTGACTTTGTGAAGCACTGCAGGTGAGGACCAATGCCCATCTTACACCTCCATGAGCCACCGCAGGTCCTTCTGTGGAGGTGCCCGAGTTCCTCTCTTAACTTCTTAACCACTCGCCTAGGTGCCGTTCAGTGGTATTCAGTGCAAAGTGCTGTCATCCAGGACTTTCCGTCACCACAGGCCATACCTCTACCTCATAAACATTTGCTCCTCGTTCTCCTTTCCACGTCCCTGCCAGCACCATGTTATTTTCTGTCTCTATGAAAGTTATTCTTCCATGCTCAACCCTAAAGACATCGTCTATAATCAACACCCCCAAATCTCAGAAAACATCCCAGAAGATGGGGGCAGAAAGCTGAGAAGCTTTGGAGGATGAGGTCTGTTTCCAAAGGACTTGTTCTGCATAACATCACTGTTGTCCCCATGTTGTTGGCTATTAATATTTATTATTGATTTTTCTTTTAGTTAAACAGCGCTTATTCCTAAACCAGCTGTGTACCCAAATCTCCACACAGAGACTAGGAAGTATTTAGTTAACCAAGAACACAATGCTGGGAAATAGTTACTCCATCCTAAACCTCCAAGCCTGCATAGTTTAAACCCATTCAGATTCCCCACATTATACTTGCTTTTAGTCATATCTTAGGTCCAGTTCATCTCCCTTCATGGTTCCAAGGCCTCTCCTGCCCGATCTCTCTTCCGACCCCTCCCACTCGCTTCTTTCTCCTCCCCTCCAGACCAGGATTTCTCACTCTAGTCTCTCCATTGCACAGCATTGGCTGGGTGTTTAATTGACAATACAGAGAACAAATGGTGGCATGTTTATACAAACTTGAGACAGGCGATGCTTAGAATAAACATCACAATGCAATGTCTGGGTTGAAACCAGACGGTGGGGTAGAGAAATCAGCATTTGAATGAACAAGGGTAAATTGTACACATTCCGCAAGAGCATTATACCAATACACCAGTGAGCTCACTGAGCTGTGTTTACCCGAACAAGACCTGCACGAGACTGGACCCCCATTGGACATTTCATCCTGGGAGGGGAATAGACTCATGAGACCCCTTCCATGAGGGTTTACTGGCAGTCAGTGGTTCTAGGAGGTGGTGTGTCCTTCCTCTGTGAGGTAGCCACTGATGAGTTTTCTGTCAACAACACCCCCATGTTCATGCAAGCACACGTCATCAGACTCAGTGATTCACACACGCACAAGAGCTATAAAAGTGGGATCAAGACTTGCTGAGAAAAAGGAGGGTGAACGGATGAGAGAAGAGCATGGGGGCGAATATGACTGAAATTCATTATAGACAGGTACAGAACCGTCAAAGAATAATAAAAAGAAGTTAGCTACTCCAGGGACCTCCTATAGAGGGAACCATGTATTTGCCCTTCTCTCCATGCACTTGTGTGTTTCAGCCGCACGGATCCCCTTTGCGGGCAGTCTAGCTGTTTTATCCTATGTCAACACTTTCTTCCCTTTCAAGGCTGAGCAACATTCTGCAGGGATGTGCTGCACCTGTTGATAAACACACGGTTGTTCACACCTTTGTGTGGTTGTGAATTGTGGCACAACGGATGTTGTAGGTATCTGCCTGAGCCCTGCTCTCAAGTGTGTTGGGCCCATTCCCACAAGGAGAACAGCTGCATCATGTGGTAGTCCTGTCCTTTTTCTTTTGAGGACTCATTTTTATATCTCTTTTCTATAGCGACTTCTATTTTACATTCCTACCAGAGCTCCTGTTTCCCTGAATCCTCACCAACACTTGTTATGTATTTCTTTTTAGGTTGCAGTGGGTGTGAGGTCGTGTCAGAGTGTGGCTTTGGTTTGCATTCCCCTCATAATTAATGAGGTTGTCTTTCTGTGTGCTCATTGGCCTTTCTTTCTCTTTGCTTTTTCCCAAGGTCTTTGCTCATGCCTGCCTAAATGTAATACTGAACTTAATTTTTAACATTTGTGAAGAGCTATTCTTGATCCATTTTTGTGTATATGAGTGTTTTGCCTTTGTGCATGTATGTACATCATGTATGTGCATGTCTGATGCCCTGAGAAGCCAGAATAGAGCACCAGATCCCTAGAACTGGAATTACACCACCACAAGGGTTCTGGGGAATGAACCCAGGTCCTCTGCAAGAGCAGAGAGCGCTCTTAACTGCTGAACCATCCTTTCATCTCTAGTGCCTTCATTTTCAAAAACTTAGATTGTCTTAAAATTTGAAAGATTTGAAGATTATTTGAAAAATATTTTATTCATTTAGCATAAGCAAACACAAAATTTAAAAATAGGGCTCCTTCAAAAATGTTTTTTCTACGTGTTCAACGAGCAAATGTTGCCGGCTTTGTTCTGAAGTCGAATCCTACTAATGTGAGGTAATCGTTTCACCCATCACAGTGACAAAACACCTGACAAAGTGACCTAAGGAAAGGAGGGTTTGCTCTGGCTCACAGTTTGAGGGTGCAAGCCATCATGGCATGGAACCATGATGGCAGGAGCCTGAGGCTGATGGTTCCCTTGCCTTCAGTCAGGACACTGAAGGAAATGTACGCCAGCGCTCAGCTGTCTTCCTCCTTTTCTGAGTTTCTACTCAGTCTGCGATGGGTCTTCCCTCCTCAGAAACATCTTCAGAAAAGCCCTCACAGACATGCCCAGGGCTGTGTCCCCTGATGATTCCAGATCCCGTGAGGCTCTCGGAGGACATTAACCATCGCGCTATGTGACAGTCTCCATCCTCGCCCACCGATCACAGCATGCGCAGACACCCAGACACCGTAGAAGTGTCTGCAAGGCTTGCCTTTGGTTTTTAACCCTTTCTGCTAACTTTCTGTGCTGGTTTCTTGTTACTACGGTAAAACATGTGACAGAAGCAACTTAAGGAATGGTATATTTTGGCTCAAGCACCTCTGTCATGTGCCTGCATTACTCTGGTGTACTTTAGCCCCATTCTAGCTGGCTGGTTCCCACTATCCTTCCTCTGTAACTGCGTTTCTTCACCTGATAAATCTGTTCTGTGGACCCAGTGTGCAGGCGGAGCAGGCAGAGGTTCTGAAGTCACCTGTGCGTGCCTGATGGCCCGAGTTTAGTCCCAGGATCCCACAGGGGGCAGGAGAAAATTGCTGCAGAGACTGTTCCCCCAGCCAGGCATGCACCACAGGCTGTGAGTGCCACTCCCCTCCCTCTGCCCAATTTCAGTAAGTGAAAAGATAGAAGCCACTTGTTGGGGTTTAAAACTTAACTGCTGCAATTTTCTTTCTTGGTCGTATCAATTGCCAAATCGACTGCTTCATGCTCGTATTTTCACGCTTCCCTTTCTACTAATTTTTCTGTTAGCTGTTGCTATGGTAACATCCCTGGCAGAAGCAGCTTAAGGAATGGTGTGTGTTGGCTCAGACTTGGGAAGGGTTGCATGGCAGCAGGAGCATGAGGGGGCTGGTCACCCCACGCCCTTCATCGGGAAGCAGAGGGCCCTCATTTCTCTAAAAGCCTTACATTTGGTTATTTTGTCATTTACGTCAGATGGCTGTAACATGCTCCTTGTTCTGCTCCTTGTTGTCTTTTGGTTCTTATTTGCGGTGTCTCACTTCCTTGTGGCTCCCCCCCCCCATTAGAAGTCACCTTTTCCCTCTTGGATTTTATCTGCAGCTTCCTCTTTGAGGCCTGGACTCACGTGGCTTTCCTTCAGCGAGTACATACTTGTTTTTACTGGGCCACTGGGGGCAATACCTATTGAGGACCAATGATAACTCTGCTTGAGGTTTTGTTTCATTCTGTCATTCTAGTGAACATATATTTAGTTGGCAAACAAATTCTCGGGGAAGAAAGAGCTCTCTTTTCTCCTTGCCCTGGGATCTCAGTATCCTGGAACCTGGTGGGGTTCATGTGTCACCCCCTCCTACTGAAGGTGCCACCCTCATGAGCCAGCTCCAAGCTGGGCCTCCCCCCTCCCCTCCGTGCAGTCATAGAAATCCAGAGTCTAAGTCTCCAGGTCAAAGTCAGCCTTGGCACCACCCACATCCCAAGGGACCCTCTAGTTTCACTTTGTCCGGAGACTGTGGACTCCTCACCCTTAAGTGAATTTTCTATTCATTCATTCATTCATTCATTCAGTCAGGTAGTCATTCACGCAGTGGTGCTGGAACTAGAACCCAGAGCCTCCTCCTTGTGAGACAGGCACACTACCAGTGAGATACATGCTTAGCCTCCTTATCTGGAGTTTGGAACATTTCATTTGTTTCAGCTGGTCTGTCAGGGCACCCAACCAGACACACTAACTAATGGGCCATCCTGCCGCCCCTGTGTCTGCATGACCTGCGTTTATCTTTCCCGCACCTGGGCTGGCATCTAAAGCCCTGGGCGTTGGGATGTGTGGGAATGTCCAGTTTTGACTGGTGGTGACTGGTGGCCTTTGCTTCTCTTCAATCATCCCTCAGATTGTTTTCAGAGGGTGGCAACTTTTCCCCTGAAGAAGTGGAATCACAGTGCCATCGGCTGGAGAAGGAGGCTACCCGGATTGAGCTCGTTGAAAATCTAATCATGATCCACATGGAAAAGATGGAGACAGAGTACCTGGACCAGGTGGGCGCTCCCTGTCCTCCCTCCAAACAGCCCCCGGGATTGCCCATCAGAGGCTGCCCCTTCTGGAACAAGGGTACATACACCTGCGCCCCAGCAATAATGAAGCCCCCCCATTCTCCTAAGGTCTCATGTTACAGTTCAAGGCCCCCTGTCCCCCAGATTTACTTCTTACCTTTCCTTGCAGGCCAATGACGTCATCAACAAATTTGAGAGTAAATTCCACAACCTAGCCTCGGACCTTATTTTCGTAGAGAAAATCCAACGGCTAATGACGAATCTGCAGCTGAACATCAAGTGTCAGGTAGGACAGGGCCATCTTCCATCACGGGGACATCCACCACACATACCTGCATGCCAACGCTGTCCAGCAGCGTGGTGTCTGTCCCATGGTACTTCCTGAGGTCAGCCGGGGAGACACACTAACTCCAGTGTCCCTGCCCGTCCACTGAGTCACAGCACACCACAGTCGCCAACTTATTTAATCAGCACATGTTGGTCCATATAAAAACCGAACCGACTGCTTTTTAGCTCCATTTTAGAGACAAAGAAACTGAGGCAGAGGCTGGGGTGAGTGCTCAGTCCTTAAATTGCTTGACCCACAGCAGGACCTGAGATCAATCCCTAGAGCCCACGTCTGGGCATCCTCCACTTGTTGGCATCCAGTGCTGGGAGGGGCAGAGACCGGGCGGCCTGCTGGGGCCCGCTGGAGCCTGCTGACTAGCCAGGCCAGCCTACCTGGAGAGCCCCAGGCCACCACCCTGCACGGACAGCACAAACTGGAGCCCTGCGGGTTATTCAATAATAATAACACAAAAGAGGAGATGAAGTTGGGGTGGTAAGGAGTTGGGGAAGTCTGGGAGGAGTTAAGTTAAAGAGTTGGGCGTGAATATGGTAAAAATACGTTGCATAAAATTCTCAAAAAATTAATAAAATTATTCAAAGCAAAACAAAGTGAATCACTCCTGACACTAACATATAATGTTGACTTCTGGCCACCGCCATCACATTCTTGCACACACACTATGCACACACTATGCACACACCATGCACGCGCACGCACACACACACACACACACACACACACACACACACACACACACACTCACGCAAAGAGGAGGAAATTGAGGTTGACAGTGATTCCAAGAATTAGGAATACATAATCTTAAGTGGCGGAACCAGAATGGGAGTCCAGGGCTGTGTAGCACCGGAGCTCCTGGGCCAGACCATGGGCAGAACATCTGTAACCCAAAGAAAGGATGAGGATTAGAGGATTAGAGGGGAAGATTGCCATGGGCTGAGAAATCAGGGGTCTCCCAAAGCTTGAGACAGAAGTATGCCAGGCAGGAGTTGGGGGAGTAGCATGTCCTAGAGAGGTTATGGAAAGAATCCAGGCGATGTGTGAGCTGTGGGCGACAAGAAGCAGCGAGACAATGAGGCTGAGACAAGGAGACCCTGACAAGACCCCACAGGGTCTTGGTCAGATGGTGAGTTCCACAGAGGGTTCCCACAGGGCTGAGAGCTCAGGGGACACATGTGAAGAGAGCGGCTGGGTTGCTGGTGGCACAAACTGGGGTGATGACTGTGAGGCAGGCTGAGACTGAGAGATGGGCCTGGATGAGGTGTTTGCAGAAGAGAGAGGTCTACGTAGGACTAGGGAGCCTGGGCTGACCACCTACTGACCCAGGGCCTTAAGTACAAAACTTTCCCAGCCCAGCTGTACATAGCCAAAGAGCTTAAGAAGCTGGCCCCTCACGGGCATGGAAGATCAACTCATAATGGTGGCTCCGAGTTCACTGTCCTCCGCCAACGATGATTAACAGCTCAGACACCGTGGGAGAGCACAAAGTGGAATAGGCCTTGTCAATAATTTCTGCAGAAGGCCCACACCTTTAAATCCCAGCACTCAGGAGGCAGAGGCAGGTAAATCCCTGTAAGTTCAAGGCCAGCCTGGTCTAGAGAATGAGTCCAGGACAGCCAGGGCTACACAGAGAAACCCTGTCTCCAAGGGTTATTATTATTATTATTATTATTACTATTACTACAAAAAAGTAAGAAATTGAGAAAAAGTAAGAAATTAAGAAAAAAAATAAAAGAAACCCCTGAGAGTAGGAGGGGTTTCCAAGGAAGACACCGTATTTCCTTTAATCAAGGAGAGGTTTGTAGAGCAGTTTCAGGAACTGGAAAAGGCTGAGGTCATCTACTGAGATTGCTTAATTATCTGAGCTATCATGAGCCAAGTGAATGGAGGGCCCCCACTCTCTCTGCATGTCTCCTGGGCCCAACCAGAGAGATAATCATGTGCTGTCTGTGGCTGCCCACTGAGTTAGGGGTGGCGGAAGCCCTCCTCCACCCATTTCTGGTTCTGGCTTTGTTAGTTCCTGCCTTCTTCAGCTAGCTGCTGGTCATCAACTGGTATGGCTACCCCTGACCTTGAAGGCGTCATGTTTATCATGCTGACCCCTCTCTCTGTTCTCACACTTACGTGGCTAGTTGTAGCCTTACCGTGGCAGAGCTAACTGTGCCGCAGCCACCAGGAAGCACCTGCATCTTTCTTAGTTACCTCTCTTCTATGTCCTTGTCTATACGGTGGCTGATCCCGAGTGGAGGCCTCTTGTTAAAGCCATGCTTACTTATGCTTTAGTCTATTGTGACTATCTTTGTGGAGCAGGAATGTCTGAAGGACAGTAGTGACTTATCTTTTCCCTGAGGACATTGCAGGGGGACAGCTGGACAGCACTCAGTGGTCCAGAGCTCATTTTTCTTATCTGCCCCTCTTGATAGTTTCACACACAGCCAAAAGCTGTCTTGGTCACCTTCCCCAGTGCTGCAGACTCAACCATTTAAGTCTCCCTTCCCCCTTTTTTTTTCGATACAGGGTTTCTCTGGTGTAGCCTTGGCTGTCCTGGACTCATCTTGTAGACCAGGCTGGCCTTGAATGCACAGAGATATGCCCGTCTCCACCTCCTTGAGTGCTGGGATCACAGGCGGGCACCACCACGCCCAGCTCCCTTCTTCCTTTTAACTCCAGCCTCTCTGTGTTCTCACTGCAACCTTTGTGAGGGACCTGCAGCTTCTGTCATGGGTTCCTTTTCCTTTACTGCACAGAGAGCCAGCTCCTGTAACTCTAGGCCCAGCATGCACTCAAAAAGCAACGTCTGAGGACCTTCTGGGGTGGGGCCAGCTGAGCTGAGGAGGACCTGAGACTTGGAAACATTCCAGAAAAAGGAGTGTTTGCTGAGGTCTCAACCTCACAGCCAGCTGTTCCTGGCGCTCCAGGGACCTACTTTACCCATCTGTGAAATGGAACCATGCAAGCAACTCAAAAGTTGTGGGGCAGCCAGTGAGCTACTGTGTGCTACATTTGGCATGGGCACTGGGGCAGAGTGAGGGAAGGAAGATGATGGAAAACTGTTCACACCTCTAAGAGAAGCTTCCAGTCATCCCAGAAGGGAAGGAGAGATACGGCTGCAAACAGCAGAGCCCAGAGGCCAGAGCCCACAGTGACCCTGCCCGGTGCCTGCTGCACTTCTAGCCAGAATGGAAACACTCCTTCCCTGAGCTGTTCTCGGCCTGCAGGGCTTGCATCTCAGTAACAAGAATCTTAAGCGGAATGCGTTTGCACCAGGGACAGCATCAGAGATGAAACACAAGCAGGCGACAGCAGCCTGTAATTCTGTGGCACAGTCATACCTCCTAGCAAGCACGTTACCAGCCGACCCATCTCGCCAGCCTCCGCATTCGCAAGTTCTGTTTAAAGGTGACACCCGTGAAAAGACGCAGGTCCACTCAAGCTGGCACGTTATGGTTTATGTGACTCTATACGCCGTGTACTCCTCACTTGATGCGTGCCTGTGTACGTGTGAGGCACGTTTATGAGTGTGCGCACACACACAGAGGCCAGAGCAGAGGCTGGCGTCTCTCTCTGTCACTCTCTAACTTATCGTAGCCTTGTCTGGCTCACTGTTTTAGCTGGGCTGGCTGGCCAGAGAGCTCTCAGGAGCCAGATCTGCATTCTGAGGTTACAAGCACGAGTGACTATGCCTGGCTCTCTGTGTGAGTACAGAGGACTCAAACCCACTGCCTTTAGCGAGCAGGGCAAGCACTCTTAACCACTGAGCTGTTTCTCCAGGCCCCTGCATACTCTTTACAGATTAAATGCCCTTTGGCATGGCTGGGCTATCGGTTTTCTTTCTGGAGTCTTTTTTTCATCATGATGCCTGTCTAGGACTTAGAGAAACACCTTTATCCAGGATACTGCATGTGACCTCTGAAAGCTGGAACGCTGGGTCAGAGTGTGGGTGTTCTAAAGCTCTGAATGCCTTCTGATGAGTTTTTGCAGACCTAACCACCATCTAGGGCCCCAGTTTCATTTGAATCATATCCCTTTGATACAGAAACCAATCTTTTAAACTTGGATTGATAGGACTGCGTTCACCTCTCTCGGTTTTTTTTTTTTTTTTTTCAGAGTTTAACCAATTTCTTGTGTATCTTGAAGAACGTTTTTCTGTTCTTAATACAGATTCTAAAAGCAGAATCTCAAAACCCCTGGTTTTCTAGGTGGCAAAGTCCAATTCCCAAGCAGAGGGATTAAATTCTTCTCTGGAACAGCTTCAACAAAAGATACAAACATGTGGAGACCACCGCGGAGATAAGGGCGTGAGTGGATCCGATTCCTAATGTGCCCAGTCAAGAATGGCAAAGTCAAGAATGGTGTAGGCCTTTATTTGGGTGCCAGACGTCTCCAGCGCAGAGAGGGTGGGGTATCTCTGAGCCTCAAGGCTTAACTTTTGTGTTGCTCAATGGAAGGCAGAGAGAAAGGAAAGAGAGAGAGAGAGAGAGAGAGAGAGAGAGAGAGAGAGAGAGAGAAACTGTCAACTTTGCCTCCCCAACCAACCTCACGAAAGCATGCAGAGATCAGGGAAGGTGGGGACCCAAGACTGGATTTGGGGACACTGCTTCCCCCTGCAAGGTCATCAGGCCTTCCTCTCTGGACTGAGGAGTCAGTCCCAGGTGAACGAGAGAAGCCCTGTGCTTCTTTCCATCCCAGCGCATGATTTCTCCTGTTGGTCTGGGAAAAGCGGGAGCTGCAGTGGAGCTCTGAAGGATGATGCTTCTGAGTGCCTCTGGCTCCCCGGTCAGCAGAGCAGGTCTCGGGGTGTGTGCAGACTCGTTTTTTTTTTTTTTTCGGCCATCAGTGCCTGTCTCCACCCTAGTCCATACCTGCTCTTGTCTCTGGGCAGCCCACCCAGATGCCTTCAGAGCTGGGTAGCTGGCGACAAGCCTGAGGCGAGTGCTTCCTGCTCCCTTTCTCTGCCAGTAAGCGTTCGGGGCAGTGTCTCCAATGATGCAAGCATCAACAGAACACTTATTTTTCTATCTTCACTGTAAATTTGTGTATGGTACGACACATGAATCTTGGGAAAGGTTCCCACGGGGCACCATGTGCAGAATGAATGTCCCTCTGGGGTCAGAGACTCTCTAAGTCTCGTTATCCGCCTCCATATAGTTTCCTACACAGCCACTGAGTTGCTCACTCCAAAGAAATGATGTGCAGACAAAAGGTGGTCCCCACCTCTTGTCTTATCTGTCACTTGCCTGCTCTACCTTTCCTGGGGGGGGGGGCGCCAAACCATCAAGGGGAAAACTAGTTGAGCTGCTAGGACCTTCAGTAAATTGTCTAGGCAAGCCCTAACTGGAATAGGAACATGTTAGACTCCTTCCTTCCCCTTCCAAGCTCCACCAGTTCCTTCATGTTGGATGTCAGGGGATTCACTCAGCCTCCTGAGTAGGCGGGGAGAGAGTGAGCTGGTGTGCCATTCCTGTGTGGATGGAGGAGCCTGGTTTAGGACACGTGGTGAGGATAAAGATGGTCGACGGGTGCATGCCTGAACCTGTAGGGTGCTGCTAAGGGGAATAGAGATGGACAGTCAGCCCTCCTGTGCAACTCTCCACACCCCTGCCAACTGGACCAAATGTGTCCTCCTAGGCAGAATTTTAGAACTAGTGGAGACACAGGGATGGCATCTTACAGGTGAGGAAACGAGCTGAGCAGTTTTGGGTCACTTCCCTATAGCTGAGTCTGTAAGAGCAGGGACAGAGTTCCGCATCAGTGAAGGATCTGCCACGTCAGCACAGCTGCCCGAGAGAGACAGACAGTGCTGCACCCACTCCTCTGGGGCCCTTTCCTATAAGAGAGGGAGCTCAAAGACCTAAGGGTTGTCCTTCCTGGATAAGCCTCTATCCCTGCCCTTCTGGTGGTTTCGATTCCTGAGGCGTCCTCCGTCTGTATTTTCACTAGGAGGTGACCACAGATGACCTCCTTGTCTTTGTCCGATCCTGGAAAGAAAAACTGACCCAGAGGATTAAGTACCTCAACTGCAGCCTGGACACGACGACAGCCATTACTGAGGAGGTCTTTACGGTAAGGAACATTAAGGGATGGGGAAAGGGCAGACAAGCCATATGTAATCTGGGCTCCAGGAGGCACCTCAAGACCTAGGGCAGCACCAGGGCAGAGGAGGCTTCACCGGGCCTTATGTTATGGGATGTTATGGAAGGAGTCAGAGCTGAGCTGAGATCCCCAGCGGGCCAGCTCCAGCTGTCTCTGAGGAGACTCCTCACATCATTGGCACCACTCCTTGCCAAGGCTCTCAAGTTGAGTGTACATGGTCTGAGTCAAGTCCGTCCACCTCCACCTCTGCCTTTCCACCTGCACATCCACCTCTCCACAGGATCCCAGCGTCTTTTCTTCTAGTTACTAAGTCCTCTCACACACTTGACGCCCATTCCCTGAGCTGTACAGCCAAAGCCCAAATAACTTTGTTGTTCTCCTGCCTTCATCAAATCCAAAGCCTTCACCCACTCACATGCATTCTCCATGGTCTGCTGCCGAAAACCCTTCATCCCTTTCCCCCAGTCTTAGACATCTCTTGCCTGTGGTCTGGGTGGGACTGCTCGCCCTGGTGTGTCTCCCACATCCCCACGCGTCCACAGACCATGAGGTCAGGTCTCTGGCTAAGGCGCCATCTGCCAGAGATGGAGCAGTGGTGTGGGCAGAAGCTGCATGGCCTGCCCCCTTCCCTATCCCCACCTCAGGCTCTAGTCCCGAGGGTCTCAGCTGCTCCCGGGGAACTCAAGAGCCAATTGCTACCTGAGAAGGCTGCTGCTGTGCTTAGCTCTCACTGCCAGATCTGGGGAGGAAGCCCTTTTCCCTACTGTGCAGCCAGCCAACCCCCCCCCCCCCCGCCACCTCGTCCACTGTTCGTGGCAGCACAGAGGCTCTCGGGATCCCGCCCGTGCCCCTTCAAAGGCCTGGCAGGAGAGGGACTCAGAACAAATGGTGGAACAGCCAGACTCGTCTCTTTGGTGACATCATTCCTATTGTCACCGCCCTTTCTCACAGTCGGTTGGTCACTCCCAGCCTTGTCTTCACTCATTCCCTCATCCCATGTGCTCTAGGCCCCAGACAGACATATCTGTGGCTGCCACTGTCATCTCATTTCACGCTCACAGGGAATGCTGCAATCTTTCCTTCACAGGCCTGGTCCTTACTCTGCCGACATGTGTGCGTGTGTATGTGTGTGCTCTTATGGGTGCATGCATGTGTGTACATGTGTGTGTGTGTGCACATGCATGTGTATGTGTGAGCAAGTGTGCATTCAGGTGCGTATGCATGTGTGTCTGTGTGGATGTATGAGTGTGTGCCTGTGGGCCTGTGTATATGTGTGTACTTGTGTGCATGTATGTATGCATGCATGTGCTATGTGTGTATGTGTGTGCATGTGCATTGAATGTCTGTCTGTCTTATCTAGACAGCAAGCTTCAAGAGGTCAGGGACTTTAGATGGCCTCTTCCACCCATATCCCCAGGATTCAGGCAGAGCTCTATGGAGAGCACTTGGGAAATCTTTCTAAAGGCAGGAGTGAGTGAATGAATGCTCAGTCGATTCCCTGAGGGAAATGGAGCACAAGCCCTTTATAGAGAAGATGGTCTCTGAGGCGTCAGGCAGCTGGCCTCCAGCCATCACTTGGACAAGATGGCAACGGACAGTATCTGCTGCCGTTCCAAACGTGGTCCCTCTACTCAGCTTTCCTCTCTGGACTCCAGGAAACCATCATGACTGATACGGAAATGGAGAGTGACATCCATGCATCTTCAGAGGGCCCTGACGAGGAAACCAAGGTGGGCCTTGTCACTCCTGAGTCCTTTGCCCAGCCAATACGTATGGGCAAGTCCATGATTGAAGACCCGGCTGTGGATGTTATCAAGAAGATACTTCAGTGAGTGTCCAGCACCCTGGCCTGTGGTCCTGGAGCGGCAGGGCTGGCTCTGGGGCCTACTCACTGAGCACCACGGCAGGGCTGCTGCGGGAGCTGTGACCCCAGGCCAGGGGCTTCCCCCACTAGAACCTCAGTTGCTCCCCCAAACTCCTGAACTCGTGGTGAGACTTATGCACCTGCTACTGAGGACCAGCAGTTTGCTGCCCAGGGCTTGGCCTGCCCTGTTGTCGTGGTCACCATGGAAAAGTTCACTTCCTTCCCTTTGGTTTCAGAATTCCTCAGACAAACTTGGCGAACGCGTGTGAAAAGGATCGCTCCCAAACAGGTAGATACGCAGACCTGTGGGTCTTAGGGAAAGTAGTAACAGGGAAGTTGGTGGCAGCTGTGGCCTACCATCACCCCCTCTCCTCTGCCCTTGTCCGGGACGCTCGTCACCCAAAGGCTTGAAGAGACATCGGTACCGGGGAGAAAGGTCTACAAAGAAGGCCTTGGGCAGCTCCAGTGGTACCTCAGCAACGAGGTAAGGGTGCCAGGCCACCTGAAATGTCTCCTTCCCAGACCTACGGGGCCCGCTTGTCCCTAGACAAAGGCCACACGGCCGTGTTTTCCTCAGTCTCTGATCCCGGGTTCCGCTTGTGCGCATGCTCAGGAACTGTGTGGCTGGAGGTGGGAGGGGCACTGCTAACTCTGGCTTCGTTCAGGCCTGAGTTCACCCTCGGGTCGATTGCAGCTCCCACATGTCTGTACCAGGAGAAGCGTCTGGGGGACTATTGGGGTGACGGGTGGATCCCTTTCCCAGCAGTCTCCCCATAAAGCTGGACAGCATTAGAAAGGCGGACAGACTGAGCCCCGGAGCAGGTGGGTTTCCTGGAGCATGGGACTAGGGTATGGTGTCCTACTCCATGATCACCTACTAAGCTCTGGAGAGGACATCACACGTGAGCCTCTGGCCACTAGCTCTAACCGGCGTATTTTAGGGAAAGCGAATGACAGAGGTCAAATGGCTGAGCCTTTGTTGGCTCTTTGTTAAGCCCTGGATAACATGGCTGAATTCCTGGCTGGGAGAAATGAAAGGAGACCCCATCCCATTTTGCTTTAGCCAGTGCAAGGTCTCTTGAACCCTAGATCTGCCATGTGAAGAGAAAGAAAGATCAGTCAAACGAGAAGAGCAAAGGCTGTTGGTTCAGAGCTGTAGGCAGCAGTGAGTGGGCTGCTCTCAAGTGCTTTTGGCAGACTCAAGGGCAGGTAGGGGAGCAGGAAGGCTCTGGAGGAACCCCGGGAAGGCCCCATGTGTGCCAGAGGCAATGACGCCTCAAGCTGGAAGCTGGCCTGTGGAAGCAGGGCATCACGCATGGTTCCAAATTGGAAATGACAACAAAAATGAGGCAAGCTGTCATTCAGTGACCAAGCCTGGTTATTTGGAGGCCATCTTTTCATTCCTGGACCCTCGTGAGACTGCAGCCTGACTGCCTGCAGGTCCAGCCTGCCCCAGGCTGGCTTCAGACTGTCCCAGGCAGGGGGTGGGAACACTGGGCGCTGGACCACAGGTTGCCGAGTTCTGTTTTGTAACAGGTGAGCCAGCCAGCTCCTCTTCCCACATTCGGTCTCTCCGAGGCTCAACTGCAGTCTATGCCACCAGCGCTCTCAGATAAAAGAGGGGAGCCCAGCTCAATCTAATTTCAGGGCCATGCTTAATTCTTTAGTATAACCAAAAAGATATAAGTAAGTCCCAATATTTCCTGGGTAAATATATATATATATTTGTTATATATTTAATATCTATTAGATATAAATATAACTTATATAGATATGAGATACAACTATATATCTATTAGATATAAATATATAAATATATTTACATAAAATATATGTATATAATTTATTATATATAATTTATATATAAATATATTTATATAATATAAATATATAATATAAATAAAGATAGATATATATTCATATACAATAAATATCTAATATAATATATTAGATTAGATATAAATATATCTATTAGATATAAATATAACTTATATAGATATAAACTTACTTGTTGTATATTTAAGTTTACATATAACCAGAACTGTCACATGATTAACTACTGACCTTGATGGCTTCACTTTAGTCTTCAAACAGGAAAAGGAGGTTGCACACTTCTGGACCTGACCAACGTGTCCTCCACCTGTCCTTGGCTGGGACTTAATAATAAACCCAGAGTTAAGGTTGTTCTGAGAGGAGTTGAAGAGTGGGAAAGCATGCTAAAGAGCTGTTCTAAAATCCCTCCATCCTGCCTCCCAGGCAGCTCAGCTTTTCAGGCATCCCAGGCAGAGCCCAATGGGTGCAGAACCCTGGCACAATTAACAAAGCACTGACCCTCTCCTGTCCCACAGCATGACACGATATACCAAGATGATCAAATTCGACAGAAAGTACCAGGTGCTCGGGGAGAAGCCTCCTTCTCAGGCTGAGTAAGTAGTGGCTCATTGTTTCCCCCACTGTGGAATCTTTCCCCTGTGAAACACTTTTCCTCTCTGAGAACCTTTTCCCCCTGTGGAACCCTTTCCCTCTGTGGAACCCTTTCCCTCTGTGGAACCCTTTCCCTCTGTGGAACCCCTTTCCTCTGTGGAACCCTTTTCCTCTGTGGAACCCTTTCCCTCTGTGGAATCCTTTTCTTTCTTTGGAACCCTTTTCCTCTATGGAACCCTTTCCCTCTGTGAGAACCCTTTTCCTCTGTGAGAACCCTTTTCCTCTGTGAAGACAATGGAGAAATAGGAAGGATGAACTTATACATGTAGGTCAGTTTGTCTTAGCTTAATCTATATGTTTGTTAAGAGATCTAGTCACCAAAAAGTTCATTTTGCAAGTTCAGAATTTCATGGTGCCAAGACACTTTTGAGGTTTGAGGACTTTGCTTGCTTATTTTGGTTTATTATTATTATTATTATTATTATTATTATTATTATTATTATTGCTACTACTACTATTGTTTTCTATCCCTTCTGCATTCGTCTTTTCCTTTATCAGCACTGCAGTGATTAAAGCAAAAGCCAGTTTATTTAGTACAACTTCTTTTCAAGCAAATCAGTGGAATCTCAAGTTGAAGGAATCAGAAGCCCTCAGAGAACATCGAGTGGAGCCCCACTCTCTCACTGAGGGACCCCTGAAACAACTTCTCTTCTTTGACCTTTGACCCTAAGAGGGTCTTATCTCTAGAGCTGGGATACTATGTGAGAAAGGATGTCTAACCCACCAGGTGATTCAGGAAAGTTGGCAGCTTGATGTGTACCCATCCTATGCATGTGACATCCTGTGGCATGAAAACCTGACCCTTCTCTCTAGTTCTGTGCCATTTAATTCCAGAAAAAGTTGAACTCCAACCACAGTCAAGATGCAGAACTGTTGTCTCCCCCACAATCATCTTACCATTCCCTTCCTTCAGCACCCCAACACTGAGAAATCTGGAATTTGCGTGACCTTTCCTTGTAATTTTGTCAGTTGGAGAATGTCATACAAATGGACTCCTGGCACTTGGCTTTCTCAGTGACGACATAATGCCCCAAGTCCTGTCTGAATCTCACTGTGCTACTATAACGGAATGTCTAAGACTGCTTGCTGTAAACATCAGAGATTTGTTTCTCACAGTTGTGAAGTTCAGGTAGAACCACCAGGGTTAAGCCAGGCATGCTGGTTCTTGCCTATAATCCTAGAAGCCAGGGGCTAAAGCAGGAGAATTACAAGTTTAGGCCAGGCTAGGCTGCACAGCGAGGCCCTGTCTCTACAAAGGGGAAGGCTTTATTATCCCATTTGGGAATTAGAGGAACAAGTACAGAAGGGCAGAGAAAGAGGGAGAGGGAGGAAGGAAGGGAACAGGTCTCTCCATCAGGACCTCACTCCTGTGATAACTAAGCCCCAGGCCCTGAGGGTGAGGGTAGAGCCTCCATGACCTAAACACCTCTCAAGGGTGTTGCCTTGGTGATGGAGCTTCCAACACACAAACTTTGGTGTGAGTGTGTGTGTGTGTGTGTGTGTGTGTGTGTGTGTTTCCCAGGGTGTATGTCTGTCCTATGTGCATGCAGGTACCTGTCAAGGCCAGAAGAGGGCATTAGATCCTCTGCAACTGGAGTTACAGGTGGTTGTAAGGCCCCACGGTAGTGCTGGGAATTAAACCCAGGTCCTGTGGAAGAGCAAGTGCTCTTCACCACTCAGTCCATCTCCTCTGCCCCAGCCAGCTGCTTCTATTCTATGCCTGACTTAATAGCATGATTTTTTTTCTTCCTCTCTTGGTAGCTACCAGGAATTTCACCTTGCCTGCACTATGTTTTTCTCCTAAACTCCAATAATTGTCCTTGAATTAAGAAAAAAAAAATTAAACCCGAAAGAAGAAGCAGTGTTAGAAATAAACACACACGGGAAATGCTCAGCCTCACTGGGACACCACCAAATGAGCAGGGGTGAACCCTTTCCAAACTCCACATAAGACCTGACCAGCTAACGTGAGACTGTGAGGAAGCAGCTTAGAGAGGGAAAGCAGATGTCTTGCCCTGAGGGTGAGGGTCATCAACAGCCATCCTTGAACAACTCCTTGAACAAAGATATTCCACGCAGCTTAAACTGTGTAGCCAGTTGCTTGGAACTACTCTGTTATGAAGCATGTAGGAGCCCCACAGGAGCTAGAAGCTCACGCTTTTAGCAAGAAAGTGTGGGGGACCATGCCTGAGCACTTTAGAATACCCCACGGGTGTTCTAAGCCGAGGGGAGCCCAGAAGAGAACATATTTGGCCACAAGGAAAAATACCTTTACTGAATTGAGATGAGTCTCCAAGTCCTTATTCAACCAGAGAGGGGATTCACATCCTCAAGCCACGTTCAGCCACTGTGGTGGGAGCACTTAGAACAAAGCAGCAGTGGATAGACATGATCCAGAAAGTGAGGAGTTAGAACGCATACCATTGGGTTCAAGGTCATGCGATGACACAGGGGATCCAGAGCCAGCTCCTGACGGAGTGTGACCTAGAGGCTACTATTTTTAGGATTCATCCAGAAACCTGGGACCAGTCTCTGGTGACCAGAATGAGTGGGATCATCTCCCTGGAAGTTCCTCAAGGTTACCCTTGCCAATTGTTTGGTAGTTTGGGGTTCTGTCAGAGTTCTCTTTGACAGATTTCCCATGAGAATTCCCCTGGGAAACTAGAATGTTGGGGTCCTTCATCAGCCTTTGAGAAATATGTGGAAGTTACTGAAGGAAGTTGATTGGTCCTGTTGCTCTCAAGCAGGGAAGTCTCCTGAGGCCAAGAGTCTGCCAAATTAGTGAAATGAATTGCCTAACATGAGAAAAAGAAAAAAAATAAATCCCATGCAATAACTTATTACTGATTTTCTAGAAATTTGATAACCCTAGGGTCTCATGTGTGCTAAGCAAGCATTCTGCCACTCAGCTGGAATAATTTTCATGCCAATTAAAAATGGAGAAAAACCCCTCCAAAATTCCCAAAATCAAAGGATTGTAAACTGTGGTCCGTTTATATTTAACGATGTTTCATAGCCATTTAAGACCATATCCCCAATACAAGGGGCACTAGGAATTTGACAAATGAGCAGAGACTGTGTGAAATCCTCGTGAAGCTAATTATGTTTGGTTTTCAGTAAAATTAACCAGAGGGAATGCACTAAAGTGCAGGTGTTAATTTCCCCCTCATCTCAATATATTTGCATATTTAAAAAGTGTAGCACATAAGTTTTGCAGTGAAAGACCACTGACCTACATACCTAGTTTTAGGATCTGGCGGTCGGAGCTGCCTCTGGACAGCAGTCTCTGTGACAATTCCGAGTCATTGTGAAATGCAAGTGTCCGTGACTCCATGCAATCTGAAGGTGCCATCCCTTCCTCTCACTTTTGCTTTTAAAACAGCTGAGCTCATGGAGTGGGGACATCCCCCCCCCCCCCCCCCCGTCGGTAAAAACTTGCTTTTAAGTACCGGTGTTCGAGCCATGGGCCTAATAGCTACTTAGAGTGAGCAGGGGAGGTGCCTGTCTTAGTCAATGTTGCTCTTGCTGTGACCAAATCAGCTTGGGGAGGAAAGGGTTTATTTCACTCACATTCATATAACAGCTCATTGCCAAAAGCAGTGAGGGCAGGGACTCAGACAGGAGCTGATGCTGAGGCCATGGAGGGGTGCTGCTTACTGGCTTGCTCCCCATGGCTTGTTCAGTCTGCTTTCTTCTAGAACCCAGGACCACATACCCTAGGATGGCCCCACCCACAAAGGGCTAGGCCCTCCCCCATCTGTCACTAATTAAGAAAATTCCCTACCAACTCACCACTGCCTGAAACTCCAGCCTCAGGAGACGTGACACCTTTTTCTGGCCTCCACAAGCACTGTGCTCCATTGCACAAACCCATGCACAGACCCACCTATAAACACATTTTAAATTTTAAAACTTTGAATAGGTAAAAATAAGTCTTAAAAATGTAATTAAGTGTGGAAGGGAAAAATACTTTCCAAACATCATCTCTGGAAAATTTTAGCTCTATTGTCTTTCCACCCACTGTTTTCTGACAATGAGGGGAGCGCTAAGTCTGTGGCAAGAGCCCACAAGGTCTAGCATACTGAATGGATGAAAGGTGAGTGGACTAACATATCTGAGAAGCTGGGGGAGATGGAAGAAAACCCCACACGCATGCCTGCAGCTAGATCATAGGGAGGCCTTGTCTTACTGGAGGCTCTTTCCTCTCAGATGATTTAGCTTGAGTCAAATTAACATAAAACTTACCAGTAGAGTGTCCCTGGGAGCCAAGGAAGGTCTTACTCATTGGATTACTATTTTAAACTTTCAATTTAATATATTATTATTATTATTATTATTATAATAGAAAGATGTAATGTGAACATGGATATGTGTGCCACTGTGGTGTGTGTGTGTGTGTGTGTGTGTGTGTGTGTGTGTGTGTGTGTGTGTGTGTAAGTCAGAGAATGGCATTTAGGAGTTAGTTCTTTTAGGCAGGGTCTGTCTTCTTGTTTCTGCTGTGCTGCATACTAACTTCGGGGTGCTTCTCCAGCCTCTGCCTCCAGTGCCATCATAGGAGTGCTGAGATTATAGCCTGCCACTTCATCTGTCACCTTTACATGGGATCATGGGATCAAATTCAGGCCTCAGGCTTGCTTGACAAGCGCTTTTAGCCCAGAGCCATCTCTCTAGTTCCGGCTTACTACTGATAACCAATCTTTTTTTGTTTTTGTTTTTAATTGTTGTAGTTTTTAGACAAGATTTCAGTAGTTCAGGCAGACCTGTAGCCCAAAGGTAGCCAAGGTTGACCTTGTCATACTCCTGCCTTAACCTTCTGCTGGAATTATAGGTGTGGTCTATCATGGCCAGCTCATTCTTTGTTCAAAAAGTGCAGAGGACCAACCAGAGCAGGGGCCGCCAGGTTATCTGATGAATACCGTTGTGCAGTCTACACACAGGCATGCCTTAGAACTCAGGCATGCTAAACTCAGCCACTAAGTTGATTTATGCAGATAGGCATTCCCAGTGGGGACTGTGTGTGGTCGAGAGCTCCGTGGAGGAGGCACAGAGGGGAAAGCACGTTCCTGTTCTCAGCATCAAGAAGAAGATCTTTGATTAGCTACTGTGCAAAGTCCCTCGTTAGAAGTCCATTATCTGTTTCTGATTGGTTAAGTTTCATTTTTGTGAAATACGGCCATCCACTCACTCATGCAGGAAACCCAAGCTCATGCAGGAAATTCAGACATATGTCCGTCTAATAATCTCCCAATAGGTGTCTTAAGTACTTGGTAGAGTTTACTGTCTGCTGAGAGGGGAAGAGATTAATTAGCCAGCCAAGCCAATCAATCCCCAACCCTCCAAACGGGGTGCTTCAGAGGAGCAGAGAGTATCAGAATCAGGCAACGGAGAAACAGCACGGAGCTAGGATCTGAGGAAGAAAAGGAACAAATGACAAATATGACCAACAAGCTTTACAGGTTTTTTTTTCCCCCCAGATTGGGATGTTTAAAGGGCAAGGTCCCGGGCAGCACTGAGTGATTCCTAGGAGGGACAGGGCTAGAGCAGAACACTCACGGCACTCTGTCGCTTGGTTCTGTCTGTCGGTGCGTCCGGAAGAGGTGACCCACCCATCTGCTTTGTTGGTGTTGCAGGGACTTTAAAGGCATCATCCTGACCCTCCTCTGGGAGAGCAATGAACACATGCTGTTTGTCGTGGAGGTGAGAGCCACTGCCTGAAGGCCCTTGCCCACTCTGGAAGCTCCCTCCGGCCCCCTCATTCCCCCCTCAGCCTCTTTCGGTCTGTTGTGCAGGCCGCTCTAGGATCCCACCACCCCAGTAGCTTGAATCTGTTGTCCTGTTTGTCTATTTTTGTTTTGTTTCCCTTCTAGACAGCAAACCTCATTCATCCAGCATGTATTTGTTCATTTATTTAAGCAGTTAGCAAACATTTCTCAGACACAGTTTGTGGGTCAGTTGATGAGTGCACTGAGAGGAACAAATCCAATTTCTGTCCCCAAGGGCCGCAGCAACCCAGACACAGCAGGACATGGGGAGCCAGGTGGGCATTGGAAGCGTTGTGTGTGCTGTCCTGCTCTGGCCTCCTGCCTGCCTTCCACAGGCTGGGTTCTGTGAGGCAGGGCTGTAGCTTATCCATCTTTGTGGTCAACATCCCGTTGCTTTCTGGTAAACATGCATCCTTGTTCCTGTTTGAGATGCTACGGACTTGGGTCTCTTGAGCTAAATAGGGGTTTTCCGCTCACTCATTCAAGAATTCAAAATGGTCTTTTGTAGCCACACTCGGTGGGCCTGGGATGCAGAGAAGGTCTCAAGGGCAGAGGGGGGAGAACACGTGAAGGCTCAGAGGTGTGGAGGTCAGTTTGGGACCATCGTGGTCACCTCCCTTCGGCAGGATTTTTACCGCAAGGAGAAACGCGCAGTCTCCAGGCCTGAGTGCATGTACGAGAGCTTTGACCACTGCGCTGATCACATTGGCAAGAGGATCTTGGATTATCAGAAAAAGGCAGAGGAGTACCACAAGTCCTGCGTCCTAGGTAAGTGCCATTCAGCTGGGGACCACCAGAGGGAGCACTGGAGCAGGGCTGGCAGGAAATCAGAGTGATCCTCAGCCCACCTTACAACCTCTTGGAGTTAAGAGAAAGCAACTGTTGAATTGAATTAGGTTTAAAAAAATGTAAAGGTTCGTTGTTTGTTCAGAAACGTAGCTGGTTTTCCGCTTTGATTCTCAGCGCTTGTCATTCTACTTACCCATGAAGTTGTACATTCAATGGTTTTTAGTTCATTTCCAGAGTTGCATAACTGTCACTGCTGTCGGTGTTAGCCCTCATCAACCTATCCCTGCCCAGACCCAAGCAGCCAACACCCACTGTCTGTCTTTAATTTCCCCCTCTGTCCTTTCATGGGAGTGGATTCACATGGCGATTTATGACTGTTTTGGTTTTGTTTTTTCATTTTATGGAATGTTTTGGGAGTTATGCATGTGGTGGATTATATGATACTTAAAAAAAAACAACAACAACAGAATAATATTCCTCTGGGCAAATCTATCTCACTTTATTGATCTCTGCTGTGTGACTTCAGAGGTAGCAGGGAGCTCTGTGTGTGTGGGGGGGGGGGGGGGTGTAGGAGGTAGCCAGACCTGGGGTCAAAAGCAGCCCTGTCATCTCCCAGCTGTATGACTTTGGCAAGGTGATTCTACCTCTCTGAGTCTCCATTTTCTTATCTGGGAGCTGAAAGTAACAGTTGCTTCTTTGAGGATTAACCCCTCAGGAATGACTGGCCATAGCCCACAACTGTGGAATGGGCGGAATCCAAGCTGTAGACAGCATTTCTCATGTTGCTCAGAGGGATCCCATTCTCTATGGTTGTCCTCAAAGCAAAGGCCCTGTGGTCAGCTGGGCTTGGGAAGCTCTGTAGATGGAGTTCCCTCTTGTAGCTGCCTAATATTCCGGTGGAGATGTCTACTCCTTTCGTCGTAGCAGCCCAGCGCCCTCCCTATATCCTATTGAGGATATATAATGTCACAGAGGCAGTATTTGGGGCAGAAAATCTTTTAAAGTGATTGTAAAGTATGAGACACAAAAACCAAAAAATTAAGTGAGAGTGGGAGCTATGATAAATGGAGCAGAGAACCTGGCTGCTGCCCTAAATCCGTGGGACCTGGAGCCTCCTCTCTTATAGTTAGGGCACTGAGAAGAAAGAGGAGACATACACCAAGACCACCCAAGGTGGTATGTTTCCTGTGACGCTGAAACCACATAGGGCTTTGCCTGAGCGAGCAGGGTTATTGAAACTCAAAGCCCCTCACTCAGACCAGTGCAGCGCAGCCCCTCCCCCGCAACTAGAAGCAAACAATGCAGTAGAAACCTTGGTAATGGATTATGAAAACAAAATATACAAAGCACCGCTGGAGATCCAGAGCAGAAGTTTAGCCCTGATGTGGTTTCTAAACCCAATTCAGTACCCAACAGAAACACAAATTCTGTTCTATGTGAGTCATCCAAAAAAGATCTGAAATGGATGCTCTGGCTCCAAGCTACCATTCTCTGACAGTGTGCATGATTTGCTTAATACTGAGACTTCCTCTCTAGAAAATCTGCTTTGGCCTCAGCCCTCCAGCTCCCCCAGATAAAGTTCCAAAGTATTCACTGTGATTACAAAGCTCTTGGAGTCAGAGGCACAGAATGAGAACTGTAGTGAGAATTCTGGTGTTTTGGTTTCTTTTAAACACATGAATGTTATAAGAATATGTTTTAGTTTTAATCTCAGGTAGGGATATGGGACTTCTTTACTGCAGTTGACTATGGTTTGCCTCATGCTCTAGCAGAGGCATGGTTTCGCCAGCTACAGATAGTGTGTGAGAACTTTTCAGAGTCTATGTAAATGCTAGGGTCCCAAGAGGTATGGTCAATGTCTGTTGGTCGGTCAGGGGAGTTGGCTGTGGTTTGTTGGTAGTCATGCTCAAAGAAGACACAAGAAGAAAAAACAGATTCACAGATCTCTCTCTCCCTCTATCCTTTTTTCTCTTTTCTCTAGTGATAGGGGGATGAAATGGTGGGGGGGGGGATAAAGGGTAAGAAAAAAAGAATCCACAAAGTAGCAAACACCAGCTACAGAGAACAGCAGAAAGTCCGAACACTGAAGGAATACCAGACACAGCTAGCTGTGAGTGGTGGCACATGCCTTCAATTCCAGCACTGAGGAGGCAGGGTTTCAAAGTTAAGGTTAGCCTGGGCTACATGGCAAGACTGGTGGCGAGAATGGAGGGAGAATAAAAAAGAGGTGAAAGGGAACAAAAGGGAAGAGGAGGAGAAAGGAAGTAGGGGAGGGAGGGAAAGAGAAATAATAGGCACAAAACATACGATGATGTGCTTATAACTAAATGAGATGAAACTGGAAACACGAGGTGTAAGATACTACAAAAAAATGACCAATTAGATTCCAAAGAGAATGAAATAGACTTCTAAAAATAAAACATCAAGGGTTGACAATTTAGAATGATGAATGGGTGTTCAGCCAGGTTATACGTAGTTGAATGTGGAGTCGGTGAACTGGAAGGCAGACACAGAGGAAGTACCCGGCAAGACAAGGTGACGAAAACATGAGCAGTAAAGAGATAGAAATGGAGGAGTAGGTCTTAGAACATGACTGTGTGGGGGTTCAGGAGAGGCAGACAAAATTGAGGCGATACCTGCAGAGATCACAGGTGGGAACCTGCCCAAGCTGATGCATACGCTTTTTAGGGACCAAGGAGGGTCCCTCTGAATTCGCTTAACCATCATTTCCCATCTCCGTCTGGCCGCAGACCTCCTTTTGATGAGTAGGTCTTACACATTGGAGGCCAATGTTCTTCCTCTGCTGGAGGCACGGCCTCAGCACCTGCCATCTCCTCTGTCCACTCCCTGATGTCCTATCCTCGATTCCTGCAGAATTACGTGCCCAGGTGAGGAGGTTTGAGGAGCTGCTGCCCCAGGTGTGTTGGCTGGTGATGGAGAACTACAAGGAACAGCACTGGAACAAGTTTTGCTCATCCATGAAGGAGATCCAGGAGCAGTTTGAGGAAAAGAAGAAGAATCTGGAGAAGAGGAAGGTGAAGGTCGCAGGGCCAGGGATTCAGGAAGTCGAGAATGGAGCCAGGTCACAAGCAAGCCTGAGTCTGAGGAAAGGAGAGATGCTAAATGTGGGGATTTCTGGGTACAGGGGATACTGGGGAATTAGCAGTTGAGCCAACACTTATCAGCAGAAGGCAATCACCAAACTCTAGTCTGTATTTGAAATCTTTGGCAGGGCCTTGGTCGTTGAGATTGACCACGCTTCCACAGTGTTTTCTGGTGCTGTGGGATATGACTGGTGCTGACTTTATTAGACTAAAGGCCCCGATTGTGTTGGAGCAGGTGCCCAGCTCACCTTCTTTCCAACCCCCAGAGTTGCCATTAGCCACACTCCTCCCTCATCCTCACTGCCACTCAGGCCTCTTCCTACACTCAGATCACAGCATATATCTGTCTGCACTTGGCCTTAGTTGACAGTAGACATTGGTCCTGATTTCAAGTCTGGGTTGAAATCTCTGCTCATTTCTGACTTGCCCGATTGAAGGATGAAAACTCCCAGAAGCTCCATCCACAACTTGGCCACCCCTCATATGCCCATGAAATGGAGTCGCTATCCACCATGGAGGAGCTAAGACAGGAAGAGCTGGACCAGGTGATCCAGGAGAACCAGGAGAAGATGGAGGTGAGTGCTGCCGTTCAGTCTCCAGCCAAGGAGCCAAGAGCCATACTGCCCTTTAGAAAGTTGGCCCTGATGGTTGGTACCTGAGCCAGAGAACACACAAAAGTGGTAGGTTTTTATGGTATGTGAATTGGTCATTGTAGGATGCTTACATTACTTTGTTTGTTTCATTGAGACAGGGTCTCTCTCTCTCTCTCTCTCTCTCTCTCTCTCTCTCGTCCTGGCTGTCCTAGAACTTGCCATGTAGACCAGGCTGGCCTTGAACTCAGAGTGTCTCCCGAGTGCTGGGGTTAAAAGCAAAGGCCACCACACCTGGCCATACTTTGATTCTTAAATTATTTACAAAACCTAGTAATGACCGTTTTCTTCACGATCCATACCTTTTGATTTCTGTTTGGTGAATTGTCTTTGTATGTGCTTTGGCCATTACTGAATTGAGTGTGTGTGTGTGTGCGTGTGTGTGTGTGTGTGTGTGTGTGTGTGTGTGTATTGGGAGGAGGCACGTGTGAACGAACACCTGTGCATGTGCAGGTAGAAGCAGAGGTAAGTGTAGGGTGTTGCTCCTCAGGAACAGTCACCCCGTTTTAGTAGACAAGGTTTCTCACTGACCAGGAACTCACCAAGTAGGCTAGGCCAGTTGGCCCAGAGAACCTCAGGAATCCCCGTCCGTTTCTCCAGAGCTACGATCACAGCACACACCACCATACCCAGCATTTTTGTGAGTATGGGAATTGAACTCAGATCCTCATACCTTACCCACTGAGCTACTCCTCCAACTCTCCCAACTCCTTCCTTAGTTTCAAACCAAACCAGCTGTGAGGAGAAGTCTCCGGACCCTGAGGCCCAGGTGCAGCTGTTAACATGGCTCTGGGGCACCCTTACTAGGAAGCTCTCTGTGGAGCCAGCTCCACCCTCCCTCTGGCAGCCTGGCAGTGGAGACCTTGTTTATGAAGTCCATTTTCACTCTGTTCACTCCAGGAATTTGCCAAGAAGTACAGCAACTTCTTCATAATGAGCTTGGCCTCCTTCACAGAGAAGTTCTTGATGCAGCTGGATGACGTGGTTACCGTTGATGACATCCTAGCTCCACGTAAGCAGCAGGCCAGCTCCGTGCTTCGGCCCTCGGGGATCACGAGGTGTATGGTGGGTGGAGCTGGGGATACCTGCTGTCCCTCAGGCAGGGCAAAGACATTTTCTTCATCTAGTGGTGTTCCGGCCCCAGAATGATCTGCAATAGCCAATAGCCACGCTTGAGGCTTTGACTGTACAGCAGGCCAAAGTGACAAAGTTAATAGTAAGTTTCACAGAGATCAAAAAATAGTAAGTTTCACAGACAGCAAAACATCGCATCTCAGTGCTCCAAACTTCCGGTTGGGAAAGTCCAACAGAGGCACCCACCTGGAGCTACTGATGGGTAATCCTAGACAGAGCAGGGTGTCCCCTCATCTGAGGCTTCTGTTATCAAATTTGGGGGTTCACACTCTCTTCCCCAAGTCAGATTTGGCCTCCTGTCCTCAATAAGCCTGTTAAGTGTGCCTAACTAAATGGAAAGCTGAAAAAAGATATTTATTAAGTATAGTCAAATTTCAGAAAGGGAACAAAGAGATCCAACGAACCCCCAAGTCTGTCTTCTGGGTTCTGAAATGACGTCGAAGTTGAAATGAAAGGCCAAGTATATGCACCTTTGTGTAATCCAGCTGATAAAGTGTGTTCCCACCCACCACTGACATCACTGTCCTCTCCAGTCTTGTCCTGAGAGGTGGCCTAACTTCTCACGACTGTGCCAAATCTCTTTCTAGGGGTCAAGTCCCCTCTGGCAGAGGCCTTTTCCTTCTCCAGCATGAGATTCCTGGGAAACCCCCATTTCTCGGGGACCATTGTTTGGACAGGCTTATAGGCAGGTTGAGAAGCACAGGGTCTGTCTAGAATGTCTCTACTTTTACCAGGCCAGTTACAGCACCAGCCACAAACACAGAGCAACACATCGAGATCAATCAGCCAATCAGACGCCCACAGCATTCATTACGCCAACCGGGGAATACGAGGCTGAGGTCCCGAGTTCCCCACTGTCGCTTTCCCCCAGGGATGGGATTCCCTCTGGCTTCTCTTTCTCACAACAGATGCTTTTATGCATTTGGGAAAACCATGCTCACCTCTGTTGGGAGAAGTAGGTATTCTAGCTGGTCTTGAGGACATCATTCTGGGACTATTTTGCTGTTTTCTTCTCTCTATGTCACAGAGTTTTGGGTGGAGAGCAGCCTATCCCCAGACAAGTGGCCTTGGAAGACACTTTGAGACAAACATGCTTGGGTCTGAAACAGGGGGTGAGTGGCCTACTTCTAGGGCCAGCTTCTTAGTGAAATCAAAAAGCGCATGATAATTTACTAATTTAATGTATACCACGAGTGGACTGGCTGATTTTTACTTATTTTCATCAACAAACAATGTTTTGACTGAAAAAAGTAAATGCCAGCTGAATCAAAGAGTAAGTATAAAAAGAGTCCCAGCAGGGAATATATTCATACTGTTGAGGTTAGGCACATTTTCTAAATATAGAAGAAGAATTAAAGGGCACAAAGGAAACGGTGGCACTTCTCTGGGCCAAATGTAAAATGGGAGGAAAGTTCAATAAGGAAGGAAACAAAAAATCCAAACTGTGTCCTCCTCTCTGCCCGTGGGTCAGAAAAAGGCCAGCTAACACTGGGGTGAGCAGGACTCTCAGATCAGCCTTAAAAGCAGACAAAACCACACATATGCGTTTCCCAAGAGAAGCGGTTCCTGTGGCAAGGGCAGCAAAAGGCACTCGGGTCTCACCTGCAAGGAAGAATGTGGACAAAAGCTTGGCTGAGCCAGAGCTGCACATTAGGAGCTCACCCAAAGCGTTCTGTGGTTCAAGACACTGCTGAAGTGTGCATTAGGACAGGAGGGAGGTCCTCCTGCCTCCACCTCCTGAAGCTGCGATCATAGGCACGTATCCAGCTCACTTCTCCGTTTCAGTTTGATGACTATCAGGCCTGATGAAGATGGCAGAGAGCAAAGGCCCCACACAGACTGTGGGAGGTGTATCCGTTGCTTAGAGCTCTCTTGAAGAGCACTACACTCTGTACTCAGAGCCCTGCTCTCATCACCAGGAAAGCATGTCAAAGTTGGATCCCCAGGCTAGACATCTGGTGAGCAGCCTTGACTGTTCTTTCCACAGTGAGGCCTCTCCTCTCTAAATATGACCACGGTGTCACGTCTCCACTTCTCAAGCTGTCCGTGAGGTCACAATCAATAACAAACCTCTTTCCTGTCAGGGATGGAGCCCCAAAAGCAGAAAATATCAATCCTTATACGAAAGAAGCTGGCCAGGTTCTCTCTGGAGGAAGAGAGTGAGAAGCCCCTGGTTGAACGAGGGAGCAGGTGAGAGAGAGCCTAGGGCAGCTAGGGGCAGTGTGAAGGGTTGTGTCCACTGGGGTGGGGCAGGGGCGTGGAGAAGGACTCAGACTCTGAAAGTCACTGATTTCCAGCCTTCACTTTCCTTCTCTGAAATGAGCAAGGGCTGTTTGAAGAGAGTTAGGTGAGGTCACACAGCACATGCTGAGAACTCCACGGCCACAGGCTCACAGGAGAACCACCACAGAGGCCTGCAGAGAGGAGGAGGTCTGTCCCCAGGCAGCTGCATGCTCAAGCTGCCGCTGACATGGAGAACCACTCCAGCTGTCTATCCTGGGCAATGACAGTTGCCACAGTGCCCATCCCTTGGGTCTGTGGGCAGTGATTCTCCTAACCATATTCCCCACAGAGGTTTCTACAGCCTAATAGGAAACGTGGGCCAGGAGCTCATGGCTACTGCCTGGATGGCAGCCTGATGAGGAAACTACGGCCCAGAAAAGGGAAGAAACTTAGGTGTGGCATTTCCCTGTCTCATCCAGCAGGACCCTGACTGTACATGCTGTTAGGTCATCACGGAAATAGGAAACAGAACATAAAAAAGCAAACAGGAAAAGCTGGGGGGGGGGTAGGGGGCTTTTAACAACACCATCTAAAACGCCATCTAAATCCACGCTAATAGCTGAGTTTTCAGTCTGTGCACTGGGCAGCTGATCAACGATGAAGCTGAGCATTCATTGTTTGTCTGTAGGAAGTGGCTAGGAATCAAGCCCAATGAAATCACCATTCAAAACAAGATACTGACTCGGAAGACACCGACGATAACCACCTATAAGACCACCCTGGGCCACTTGGCCACCATAGAAGCCCGAGATGCCGTTTACCTGGTGAGTCAGGGTCAGGTGGTGTATTCCAGGGGGAATGAAGCAACTCAGATTGGCTGCCTAACAGCAGGGAGCTGCACTCCACTGGGTACCTCAACACCTGGCCGGCGGAGAGAACAGCATACAGCTGTGTGCCCCAGACCTGCAGGTCTCAACTCTCTATAGGTGCGAGGGTCTGTGCCAAGGGCCACGTCCATTCCCAGGACCAGCATGGTGACTGAGGTGTAAACCCTGTGCTGTACCCAGCTGAGAGATAACTCCACCCAGGGGTCATGGAGAAAGGCTTTTGCAGAAGAACAGTAGAGCCAGGCACAAGGCAGACAGATGCATCAAGGCCCGTGGCTGCAGGGGTGCACTGGGGTGCAATGGCAGGAACCTTTACAGCCTCAGGTGTGGGCCTCTTGTTCTTCACGTGAGGCATCTTGCTGCACCCTCTCTGCAGCTGCTGAGGGGTGTAGACTCTTTTGCACTTCCCCAACCATGGCAATAATACCCAAAGACACTTGCCTTTCAACACCACTCCCAAACAGCAGGGAGCCAGGATTCAGTCCCCACTGGTAGACTGTGGGACTGGCCTGATGAGGCTCCACCCACATGCCACCTGAAGAGTTCTTTGTCCTGGTGCCACAGAGAAAACTAGTCTTATCCACATATCCACTGGTCCTGGGGAATGCCCAAAGTGCCCGGTGCTGCTACTCTAGGTCCCAGGCAGAGGACATGACTGCCTGCTGGGCTCAGTGAGGGGTGGAGACCCAGGGCTCAGCCTTCTGAAGGAGTAAGGACCCTCCGTGGAAGCTCTACTCCTGCAGCACAGTGGTCAGGAATGCTCAGGGCCCAGAACCAGAGTCACATGTGTCTCTGTCCCTGCTCAGCTTCCCTGGAGCTGGGTGACTGCAAGACTCAGCCTTCCAACCTGGAGGATGAGTGCTGGTTCCTGAGGGCCAGGGACTGCTTGCTGTGGGCTGCAGAGCTCAGAGCTTCCAAGCCTGTGAGCACGAATGCCTATGGGCCTTCTTCTTCCTCCCCTTCAGAAATACTTGGGCCTGTTTGAGAAAGAACTAAAGAAAATCAAGGATCACACCACGACCCTGGAGTTGGAGGCTCAGCACTGGAAGGAAAGCTGGAGGCTCTCCCTGGACACCATCCAGTCCCTGTACTTGACCACTTCTTTTCTACACCTGAAATAAAGCCTTTGTTTCTCTCCCCTGCCTGCCTTTCCATCCCAAACACTGTAGTTTCGTCAAAGATGAGAACACTTTCAGTAAAGAAGACAGACATGGAAGGGATTCACATAGTTAGCAGGGTTGCTAGGTGGGTACCAGGACACAATCACTTAAAATAGATGCCAAGACTTCAAGCATGCTTGGTGCCTCTTTTCACTTTCTGGATGATTGGCTAAGAGTGTCTGGTGGCCAGGCCAGGAGGTATCAGGGCCAGCTTGTAGGAGAACATCACCATTAGAAAGCCACCTGGAGATATGGCTCAGTGGTTATGAGCAGCTGCTGTTCTTCCGGCAGCTTACAACCACCTGTAACTCCAGCTTCAGAGGTTCCAGTGGCCCCTTCTGGCCTTTGTGGGTACCTATATACAACACACACACACACACACACACACACACACACACACACGGGGCTGGGGAGGACAAAGAGAGGGAAAGAGAGAGATCCTGTGCCCACCTACCTACCTACCTACCTACACACACACACACACACACACACACACACACACACACACACGCACGCACGTGAGAACATGCTAATAGGCAAAGCTGTGAGGTTCTCACCCACTGTTCCTTTGGGGTGCTTTCTCCAAATGGCCACAGGCTACAGTGGTGAGAGCTGACCCAGCATCTGCAGAAAAGGTCTATCAGTCTAGATTTTCCTAGCCTTGAAAATACAGATGCAGGGCAAGATGGCCCAGTGGGTAAGAATGCTTGCCCTGTGGCCTGAGTTTGATCCCTGGAACCCACGTGGTGGAAGGAGAGAACTGACTCTCCTTTGACATTCACATACATAATAAATGAATGCATGCATACATGCACATACATACACACACACATGCATACATGTGTTCAAAGCAAACAAAGCACAAGCCAGGCACACAGCAGCTAAGTATCTCGATTCCCTGACGCTCTCTGATCAGGTGACGTGCATGGGGCGGGTGCAGCCTATAGGGAATGCTTGTCTGTTTTCCAGGGTTCTAAGCTCCTGAGCTCTCTCACCAGGCATCGAAATCACTTCTTCGGGGTTCCGTTACCTGGTCCCCTTCCTTTAACGAGGCCACAGAGCTCCTCACCTAGTGTTGCTCACCTTCCCACCTGGTGTCACTTCCTTGACTGCACACGGTCACGGACACTGTGAAGATCTGTATGCATCCACGGCTACAGGGCTGAGGAGCTCAAGCTGGGAGCTCCAGAATCTTCTCATCAGTTCTCCGTGTCTCTCAGGGTCTTCTACCTCCAGACCGGCACACCGGAGCTTCCCCTAGAGTCTGCTTCTGAGGGATAGCACTAGGTGAATGAGAGATGATACGGGACCTGTGAGTTGATGTTATAAGCTGCACACGCACAGGAGGAATGATGAGAATACGACTCAGAACAACCTGCCTGGGTCCTGCCCTACGATACTGACCAGTCACATTGCCTGTGGGCCTTTCTTTCCATTCTGTGCTCTGTGGACGTGGGAATGAAAAGTTTGCATATGGCCATCTTGTGGCCCAGAGCCTTCTGATGGCTCCCCACTGTACTCAGAGTCAGAGCATGTGCCCTTTCCAGCCTGTGGTAAGAAGAAGCCATGCCATGACTTCCTGTTCCTGGTGGAACCACTGTTCCTGGTGGAACCACTGAGTGGTTAGTGGTTCCCTTCTGACTAATGTACTGTGGTAAGGGCAGTGGAATGCTAGCCCTGTCCCTGTGGGAATGAGGTCTAGGAGTACATGGTTGGGTGGGCCTATAAAACAGACATTTGTTTCTCTCAGAGCTGGTGGCTGCAAGTGTGATATCAGGGTCCCAACACAGTCCAGCTCCGATGAGGTCTGGCTACAAGGCTGTAGACTGCCTGTGTCTTGCTATTATTTCTCACAAGGATGAAAGAGGAGACGAGCTCTCTGGGCACTAGTTTCTTTTATGAGGACTCTACCCTCATAACTTCATTACTTCCCTGAGGTTCTGCCTCCTAGTGCCACCACTGTGGGGATTAGGACTTTTGGTTGCCATAAACATTCATTGTACAATAACTTCCAAACACCACTCTCTGGAACCCTCCCATGTGGATCTTCCTTCCTTTCCCATCACTCCCATCTGCCCCCTTCCTTTTCCCTCCGCAGCTCAGCCTTGCCTCCCCTCCATTTCTACCAGAATCCTTAGCCTGTGGAGTCAGGGATCCATATTCAGAGTCTCTCTGTGTGGAAGGTTCAAGCTGGAAGAGCCAGGGAGAGCTCGGGCCACTGACAAGAGCTTGAGCTCTCTGATAGCCACAGACTCTTCCAGCTCTGGCCTCACCTGTGGGAGCACTACCATCATCCTGAGGGACCTGAGGCAGAGACTCCCAGAGAAGCCATATGTAATTCCTAGACCACAGAAGCTGTGAGAGATGGGATGTTAGTCTGTTAACAGTGCTCATGCCATTAGAAGGGCAGATAGCTAGATCTCAGGGAAGCTGACCCTACAGTCCCCTCAGAAGACCCTCCCCCATCCCAGCTGACCTTCTGGCTTCCTCTGCCTGGCTCACTTCTGTCTGAATGTCTGTCCCAGTGGAACTTTGTCACTGATCACAGTGCAAAGTCATTTCACTGAGTCCACTGCCCTGGCCCTGGGTATCATCAATGCCACCCTGTTTCCTTGCTTTGCTCTTTTGCTCCACGTGCATTTCCACCCCTGGGTTGTGCATCTGCTCGGCTATCCGAGGAGCCAGGACCAGCTGGTGATTTTCTGCAACCCATGTTGTGCCTGCCAGTGTGCCTGGCATTGGGTCCTTGCCAAGGGCATTGCTGACAAATGCTGAAAGGGAAGGTGTGTAACCCTCCCTGCTTCCTGTTCTGATGAGCTCTGACTTGTGGTGTGGTGATGATGAGAGCAGGTGCAAGTTTACCTGAGGCAGGAGGATGGCCGGAATGACAGATGACAGCTGCAAGAATCTTCGTGGTTTCATCCTGACCCAGGGGTATCACTGACACAGGAGACTGCCCAGCCTGCTGGTCAATCCTAGCCCTGCAGTCTGGGTAGGAGCCCCATAGCAGACATCACATGCTTTCTATGACCTCAAGGCTGTAGTTCTCCAAGGTCTGGGGCAGCAGTAGAGGGGCCGTAGGAACTTCCCTTGTCTGCCTTTGCCTAATACCCGCACCACCCCACTTGGTGGTCCAGTTCATTCACAAAGCCTCCCCATTTCGGCAAAGCATTGATTCTCCCCAATGCCAAAGAAATCTCCCAGGGATCCAACAAAAGCTGGTCTTGTTCCAGGATCAGGGTCCAGTGCTCTGGAGCCTTCTCTCCTGTAGTGAGTCCTTATCTATCCAAAGCCCCAAGCTTCTGTCTACACTAAGTAACCTCCAAGGGAGTAAAAACATTTCTCTAGGGGCCCAGAACACAGAACACAGTGACCCATTAATGAAGAATTTAGGCTGAGAGATACACCCCAATCTTGTGAAACTATCAGGGTCAATGCTCTGAGTTCCCCAATTCCTAAAGGAGAAAACCAGGGCATTCTATCCTGTAAGCTTCTATCCATATTGGGAGATGCCATAGGGAAGCTCCACGGTAGTTCTGGGTGCTCAGACTTCAGGACCGTGGGTCTATCTTCTTGAGGCCTTCTGGAGACATCAAGGAGTCTTAGGTTTTCTCGTGCCCATGCTCTGAGCCTCTGGCATGTTGCTAGGGAATAGACGCCACTGCCTTGTAGAGGAGACACCTTCAACTTCTTCCTGGGGCTGTGGACTAGAACTCTGGCATGTCCTCTGGAGCTGTGCACCTCCATGACCTAGGGCAGTCTGTGTATCTTTCTGGGACTCAGTTTCCCAAATGTCCAATATCAGGTTGGTTGTAGAGCCACATAAGTGTGCTCTAGAAAAGTTGTAATATCTGTCTCGACAACACAGGATGGGGTGCTGGGGTGGAGAGGGTCAGGAGCACATCAGTGCAAAAGCTTCGCCAACTCAGGAAGATGCTAACAGACATTAGTAGCCATAGCCAGGCTTAGTGTCCATAGCCAAGCATGCACAGGAAGCTCTGTGCCCGGTCTGAGAAGCGGGCAGAGTTCTTACCTCAGTGTGCTGGGAGATTAACGTCAATCAACGGCTGATCTCAAGAAGGCAGCTGCTCCCCAAACCTCCTGGTCCTGGTCACGTGGTCATCACTGGAGCCAGGAATAATGTCATCTTACTTAAGCATGAGGGCTGAAGATGGAGGAGGAATAGCTCCCTAAAGAAAAGCTGAGGTACTGTTCCCAACGGAAGAGGGCTTGGTGCTAGCCAGGCAAAAGCTCTCAGTCTCAGGTTGTCCATACAGACTCCTCTGCTTCTGTCACTAAGTACATGGGATGTCCTGGAGAATGTATTTGCCTTGTCCAAAACCACACAGCAGCGAATCTCAGACTCTGGTTAGTATTAGCTGTGGCTACATGTATAGTCAGGTATCACAGAACAATGGGGACATGTTGTCTTAGTATTCTATTGCTGCGAAGAAACACCATGACCTCGGCCCCTCTTATGAAAGAAAGCATGTAATTAGGTCTTGCTTACAGTTCCATAGGTATAGTCCATTATCATCGCGGCAGGGTGCGTGGTGCAGCTCGACATGGTGCTGGAGAAGTAGCTGAGCGTTCTACATCTAGGTCTGCAGGCAGCAGGAAGAGAGAGCCACTGAGCTTGGTTTAGGCTTTTGAAACCTTAAAGCCCACCTCCAGTAACACTCTTACTCCAACAAGGCCACACCTCCTAATCCCTCTCAAGTAGTGCCACTCCCTCATGACTAAGCATTCAAACATATGAGCCTATGGGGGACATTCTTATTCAAACCACGGCGCATGTTATGTGACGTGTACTGTCAGATGACTTTGTCATCGTGTGAATACCAAAGTGTAGGCACGGTGCAGGAAAATCACTTGACATGATTTCTAGGCACAAACAGGAAGTTAAAACAAACACAAGATGTAAGAGGTTGTTGCCTGTTGCCGCAGCAGCATGCTGTTTTACATTTCTTTGT